GATCCTTGCAGTAAAGAAACAACACATCGCCTTCCTGTTAGGGTTTAGGCTTGTTTTTAAAACATGATACACAACACCGCGAAGGTGGGATTTTCATATGTATAGGCGATTTCCTTTGAAGGTAAGATGAATGTTGTTGGGAAAATGCTTGTGTAAATAGTTCTAAGACGATAAATAGGCTACATTATAGTATTCGTCGATTTCCGTATTATAATACTTGTTTTTGAAGTATAGCACACACATTATATATATATATGTATATATATATATATATATATATATATATATATATATATATATATATATATATATATATATATATATATATATATGTGTGTGTGTGTGTGTGTGTGTCTGCGTGTGGGTGGGTGTTTATATAAGTAACCTAAATACCTATCATATACAAATGCTTTACTTCCGAGTGTAAATACATATATACCTAAATGTATATATATATATATATATATATATATATATAGCCTATATATATATATAGCCTATATATATATATATATATATATATATATATATATATATATATATATATATATATTTATTTATTTATTTATTTATTTATTTATTTATTTATTTATTTATTTATTTATTTATTTATTTATTTATTTATTTATTTATTTATTTATTTATTTATTTATTTATTTATTTATTTATTTATTTATTTATTTATTTATTTATTTATTTATTTATTTTTTATATTTTTATATTTTTTTGTTTTTTTATTTTTTTATTTATTTTGTATTGATATATATATATATATATATATATATATATATATATATATATATATATATATATATATATATATATATATATATATATATATATATATATATATATATATATATATATATTTAATATATGTATGTGTTTGTGTGTGTATGTATTGACTAAACGCCTATCGTATTTGGCTTGACTTCTACAACATAACTTGATGTCTTGTTCTACAACATAACTTGATGTCTTGTTCTATAACCTAGCTTGATGTCTTGTTCTACAACATAACTTGATGTCTTGTTCTATAACCTAGCTTGATGTCTTGTTCTAGAACATAACTTGATGTCTGTTTACGAGAACCAACGTGAAAACGTCAAGCCTATCCTGGCCACCTAACACTACCGTGTCTCGATAAGCAAAATGTTAAAATTAAATCCGTCTCTTATCTAACCAGACAACTTCCTGGGAGATTACAACCAATGAGTTGATACGATGGGGGTTGGACGGGTTTAAAATAACAGTGAATAAAACAAAATACTAACGTTTTATTTAGTTTTCCTATTCGTGTCCTGACCTAAAGGAGTCACTTTCTTTTTTTTTTAACTTGTGTTAGTAAACTTGCCGTCACCATTCAGCTTATTTGTTATGTGAATGTGATTTGGTGAAACGGGACTAAGGAATAGATCACAGTAACGACAGTAAGTTCCCTTTCCAGACCTGACAGTGCATGGGGCAAGTGAAGACCTAGCCGCCTATACTTTCCATAACGTGTGTCAGGTACCCATCTGAGCCGGATTCGAACTCGAGACTTCCGGTTTAGCAGTCTAGCTATCTACCGCTAGGCCACTCATAGTAAGGACAGTATTGATAAATATATTTATTTTTAGAAAATATCTCCGATATGGCTTTTAGGTAGATGTTGGATAGATGTCTGCAGGGTGATGTTGGGATGGTGCTTGCAGGTTTATTTGATGATATATGCAGGTTGATGTGATAATGTATGCAGGTTGATGTTGTGTGTTTAAAGGTTGTTGTGATGACGTATGCTGGTTAATGTTGTAATGATGTAGCAGGTTAATCGTGTGATGATGTTTGCAGGTTGATGTTGTGATGATGTGTGCAGGTTGATGTTGTGATGATGTTTGCAGGTTGATGGTGTGATGATGTTTGCAGGTTGATGTTGTGATGATGTATACATGTTGAAGTTTTAATGATGTGTGAAGGTTTTCATGGTATGTGAGCAGGTTGATGTTGTAATGATATTTGAAAGAGGATGTTGTGATGGTGTTTGCAGGTTAATGATGTAATGATGTTTGCATGTTAATCTTGTGAGGATGTTTGCTTGTTAATCTTGTGAGGATGTTTGCAAGTTGATGCTTTAATGATGTGTGCAGGTTAATGTTGGGTTGATGCCTGTATGTTGATTTTCGGTTTTTGACCATTGATTTTTTTATCTCTAATTGTTTCTACATAATTATGATGAAAATTAATTTTTATAGTTGTAGCCGTAAACACTTGAGACTCCAATTTGGATTACCTGTTAGGCCCACGCTAAAGACTTAAGTGTCAGGTTTTCGTGAATACCAAACAAGCTACAACAACGACGCCTTTCTTTAACAAAGCTTGAACGATACATCAAACATAATCATGACCACGATGAAGGAAACATCTACCATAACTTCACCAATCGTCACGATAAACGGCACATCTACCCCCAGGTAAGTTTTAAGGAGATTTTTTTATACTAAAAGTTGTAAAATTTACTGTCTAAACTCTAAACTATGTTTTATCCACTAAAAATAACAAAATATTAAGAAGAGAAGGGGTGACATCCCACCGAAAATGCAAAATTTGTGACCTTGTGACTACTAACCAAACACAATTTTAAAAAGTTGCTCATGATTCATTTACCTTTTTTTTTCATGCTTTTATGTTTGCAAAATGATTAAAAAATTCACTGCGATCCATTTTAGCTGGCCAAGTTACTGACCCAAAGGGCATAATAATATTTACATTTTTTATAACATCATCATAATGAGCAAATAATCAGATTTTTAAAATCATCATAGACATCGATCATCATAGAATGCTAAAGAATCTATATGCGTAACTAGCGTGCCCATCCGCGTTGCTACTACCTAGTCATACATACTAAGATGACAAAACATTGTATAAAGGTTTCATGAACGCGTTACCAATTGTGTAATTTTACTTTCTTATATATACGAAGTATAGAGAAAGTCTTGTAATCGTGCAAAAAAAAATCGAGATTTTTACAAATCTCGACGTTTTACACCTCACTGATACGGAAAAACATAATTTTGCAATCTTGTCCGTATGTCTGTGTGTCTGTCTGTCTGTCTGTCTGTGTGTGTGTCCGTGTGTAAACACGATTACTTGAGTACCGTTACAGCTAGGTTGATGAAATTTCATATATAAGTATTTTATCAAAATCGTAGATCCGGATCAACTTTTGAGCGATTTCCGATAACCGGAAGTGGTACTTTTCCTACTTTGAATTTTTCAAAAGCCTATAACTTGAGTAATATTTCAGATAGATAAATGAAATTTCACATGTAAGTAAAAGATCTATTTCTCTACCTTCTGTTAAATTTTGAGTAATTGCCGTTGACCGGAAGTAGTAATTTACGCTACTTCCGATTTCTCAAAAAACTATTGTAAATTTTAAAAGTACTAATAATATTGCGCACTATTATGCGCATTTTTATTTGGCGTTCACTTGGTGTGCAATTAATTTGTCTACGAGATTTTATTCTATTTTTAAAACTTTAAGTATTTAAAATGGATTAAAAATCATGTCTAAAGCCCGAGTTCCCATCCCCTGTTATTTTATATAAGAATATTAGAGAAAGTTTAGGGGAGATCACTCCCGGTTTATTAGAAGAGTAACCTTGTTTTCTAAAACTAAGATAGTTAAAATGATGTAACCGACACCGGCGCTATTTTTCTCGGATCTTTGATACTGGGCGCGGGTTTGTTCACACTATCGCTCAGACGGCCTGGGGCGTGCTGGATGAAAGCCTTGAGTGTACGTTATCAACAGTGTTTCTTCCAGACTTTTTTCTCCGGGGGGGGGGGGGGGGCACTTGAAATTTTCGGGTGGCGGTTAACTTTCTTCGGGGGGGGGGGGGGGCGGACACTGTTAAAAGTATATATTTTCTATATAAATTATATCAATTTCATTTCGTTCGGGGGGGGGCGGTAAAACAATTTCGGGGGGGGGGGGGCTTGCCCCCCCCCCCCCCCAAGAGATGCCTGGAAGAAACTCTGGTTATCAACACTCCATAAGTACAGCACCATAGGTCGCTGGGTGCGATCTCTGGTTCTGGTTATTCATCGAATTTAGAGGTCCAACGTACCCCATAATGTATGATGCTCTAGTGCTTTATGTCATCCGCACGCCCGGGGCATCAGAAGTCACCCCTGTTGCATTTTGACCATTGAATTAGATTACATTTTACTCTGCATGACGCCATATTAACGGGTCTCGAGCACTCAGGTAACCACAGGGTAACTAATGAAGCCCAATCGTAACAAGTACCGAGGCACCGGAGGACATCCTTATTCGATTTAGTAATCGATTGTAGTTGCCCTTTTTATTTCTGGTGTATGGCGCTCATTAAAACGAATATAGGCGCCGTGGTGCTCATGGGTGAGCCCGAGGCGCACCGGGTCACACGACCGTTGGGCCGTCGCTTGATGCGCCTGTGTAGTTTGACCGTTAAATCAAGTAGTAACCCTGCCCCGATGTGCAGGGTGCTAAATCAACGGACCACAGGACAAACAAACACAAATCTCACACGTTAGTAGCGCCATATTTATTAAAGATAAATTTTGATCAACAAACAAAATGTCATTAAGATTAAAACTAGCAAAAAACATTGACAAAATTTTAGACTTATCACTGTCTATGGTTGTTATCCGAAAAAAATGGCTCAATTGTAATCATGGATGTTCAGGAGGATGGAATTTCGGGGAGGGCTGACAGTTAGTAGGTAGATGCGGGTCTCTGGGGGTGGGGTAGAGAGTTTTCCAGTCAGTTAGTTGAGGTTTTTAGCGATACATGTAAATTAACGAGTGCTTGATGTCGTATCTCACACAAGAGTCAAAGTTCAAGTTTATTTATAGGCTAATTCTCTCAATGGCTTGCCCGCACTGCGACAGCGCTAGTGGTGTTGTTAATACGGATAGGCCCTGTTCGACGCACCCCACCCCTCCCCCACACTGAATGCCACTCCCTGTACTCTATGATAGGACTGGGGCTTTTTTTTTTTAATTTTAATTATTTCTAAAGTAGAAAAAATTATTTATATAGATTAAATATTAAAATTCCAATGTCAAAGTTCTAACTTTTGTTAAAGAGGGGAAATTTGCACTATTTTCCTTGGGCCCCTATGCCTTGCTTACTCTAGCTTCACAGTAGCTACGCCAATGGTTCTAATGTAAACTTTGTATATAATAATGCACTAAAAAGTAGAAAATATATAAAAATACACCTCTATTTAAATAACTATAAAGAAAAGCGTGGGTCACTATGTTATGTATTGAATACATTTACTAAAGTTTAAGAAGCGACCCGCGCTTTTCTTATAGGTATTTAAATGGTGCATTATTATGAATGGAATGAGAATCGTTATTTATAGTGCATAATTGTATAAAATACTTGAACTTTATTCCCTAACGAGAAAAATGGCCCGTTGAGGAAGGGTACAACGGGCGCTAGGCTGATAGTGCTGTCTCTTTTCTCTAAACTAAAACCAACCCACCCCCCCCACACACCACCCCCCCTTCCCCCCTCCACATCCCCTTCCCCCCCCCCCGCCTCCCCTCCCGCCCCCCCCCCCCCACTCGCTACGCTACTGCAGTGTCACTTATCGTCACAAAAAACAGACCCCACATTCAAAAATATGTTTCTTATCTTTTAAAAACACCGAAAACACCGATTTCGGACTATCCCTTCATATACTGACGTCACATGTGACCTACTCAACTCTACTTCACCTGCCCAGTGTCCCGCCAAGTCTCAGACAACATGTTTTTATCGTTTAAAAAACTATTCCAGCCGAGCATGTCTCTGACCACACTATCCTTTCATATGCTTAGGAAAAAGAAACAGATGAACTCTACTTCACCTGCCCTGTATCCTGCCAAGTTCAGATAGGCAACTTTATCATTCACATCTAAAAAAAAAAAATATCATTGACATATTGGTCTAGAACCTGTACCACCCGCATGAGAGCAGACTACGCTACCAACTTAGCTATTTACTCGTGACGTCACAAATGAATTTTTATACTATACTTTTGAGTCTCCGCGCATAGATCTAGATCTAAGTCTAGTAGTAGAATCTAGTAACTTTCAAATTAAATTTTATCTTAAATTAGCCAAACAAAGATTTATATAAAATAATTAAGGCCTGAAATAGATTCTAGATGTATTAAGGCCTGAAATAGATTCTAGATGTAGAATTTACATTAAGTCTAGATCTAGAATTTACATTGAGTGTAGTGACCTAGATCTAGATCTAGGCTAGATCTAGATCTAGGCTAGATTCATAACTTCGACAGCTGATCTTTAGATCTAGAGAAATTTATTGTAAAACTAAATGAAAAAAGACAGTTTAAAATTGATATAAGTGTTGGAACGTAATAAATACAGCAAACGGACGTATTGTTAAAGTTATGACCGACAGAAAATTAGATTTAGAACGCGTTAAACTTTTGAATGGGAACACACTTTTCTTCGATAGACGCCGCCATTTTATTGTACTAAAGAGTAAACAAAAACCTGTGATGTCACTATTCCCACAAAGTTTAGTCAATGTTTTAACATTTTAAAAAAATGGGTTACTCTACGTATGAGTAAATCAATAAATTAATTAACGTCTTTAAATAAATTTGTGATTAACAGTCTGTCTGCATTAAAAAATTATTCTCTACCTACATACTATTTTACAGCTCTCCAGATAGAGTCGAACATATCAAAATACTCGATCGGACAAACAAAAAAACAAACAAATAAATATTCAAACATGTAAACAAACTTGACTTTTAGTAGTATTAGATAAACTTTAATCGTGTAACACTATTAGAAGTAGTTTTATTTTTATTTAAATTTTTGAAAACTACACACAAAAAATGACAACAAAATTCATTTTTCTCCAGGTGGGCCACTCTAGTTCAAGACGACAAAAGTAAGTAGATTTGCAATGGTAATAAGCATATGCAAAAATATGTGTCTATATAAATATACGTCTAGCCAATAATAATTGTAGGCAATAATAAGTATAAGCAGTAATAAGTCAAGACAATATTAGGTCTAGGCAATAATAAGTTAAGGCAGTTCTACCTTCATAAAACAAATGTAGGCCACAGTTTCCCAAAGTGGATTAGGATTATATCGCCCATTGGGGATGCTTGGATAATCGATGGGGGTGGGGGGGGGAGGTGGTATTAAAACTTTGTTGGATGCAAATTGTGGTGGTGAATTAATAAAAACAAAGAAGAAAACATTTATGATAGTCAGCTTTTAAATGCACTGGAACTACGAAAATAAAACTAACTTGCTTTCTTTAATGAAAGCTTCAGTCGCTAAAATATCACGAGCAACCCTTTTAAAGACAGCAAGTTTATTTTACTATATGTTTCTTTATTTTGAACCTATGTACTAGATATAGGACGGCTTCGTTTGATGATAGAGCGTAAGATTGTAAACCTGTAAGTCTCGAGATCAGATCCCGGGCTTGAGCCCCTTAGGGCTTTCCCAAGTCAAACCAGCTCTGACGGGAGCCTGGCCAGTGTTTCTTCAAGACTTTTTTTCTCCGGGGGGGGGGGGGCACTTAATATTTTCGGGGGGGGGGGGCGGACATTTCCAGGGGGGGGGGGGGGCGGACGCTGGGACACTGGTAAAAGTATATGTTGTCTATATAAATTCCATTTCGTTCGGGGGGAGGGCGGTAGACTTTCTTCGGGGGGGGGGGGGGGGTTAGACTTTCTTCGGGGGGGGGGGGGGGAGGGAGCAAATCCCCCCTCCCCCCGAAGAGAGGCCTGGAAGAAACTCTGTACCTGACTTACGTTAGCCAACCATGCCGAATGGCCCGCCAGGTTGGAAACGGTAATTTACCTACAGTTCTAGGTGGTAATAATTCCAGAAATATTAAGCCTAGCCAACAATAATATAATATCTAGATCTACACGAACGCGGACGTACTGTACACTTGTGTACATTGGTTGTTCACTTTACTTCTTGATGTTTTTTTTTTTATAAACTGACGTAACTATTGAGGCAATCTATTTTTCCAGATCTCATCATAGTGCTGGGCTTTGCTGGAGTATTCGTTTTACTGATGATTGTGTTCGTCATCGCGTACTGCGTGACAAGCTCGAGGAAAATGAGGTACAAGACCCGCTCCAGAAGGTAATTGTGCTTTGGTCTAAAGCTAAATTTATTTATTACATGTATTTATTACATCGCCGGTTAATTCGCAAACTGGCCGGAATGCCCTGGCCAAAGTCCGAAAAATTATACAAAAAAATGGCAGGGTATTTAGTATATTGGCTGGCCAATACAAGCACCGGCCGGTATGCCTTGACCAATGGTTACTGTGTGATAGCGTTGTAATTATATTCGCTGCGGTTTTATTGTGAGAACTGAAGGGCTCTACTCGTGTTTGTGTAGCATTTTATATGCAGTGCAACACGGACCAAACGGCCGTCAAGACAAAAGACAGACTGTCAAAGAAAAAAAGTCAACCCCTGTGTTGGTATCTAAAAATAGCAAAATATTACTACTGTATGTGATCGTCTCTTCTATGATGCCGAGGTAAGGCAGTGATCAAAGAACAAAATCAAAGGTAGTTGGCGTCACATTTCATGTGCAACAAGATGGAACTTTCAAAAGACATGACCGCGGTGTATGAGACCTTTGTAAGATGAACAATAGGATCCAAATGTGTTTGTATTAAAGAGTGTATGTGTTTATAAGTGTGTGAGATAGTGTGTTAGAAAGCGTGTGTGTATGAGTGTGTGTATGAATGTGTGTGAGTCTGTGGGTTCTTAAGAGTGTACATATGTGTATGAGTGTGTGTTAACGTGCGTGAGTGTGTGTATGAGTGTGAGTGTATGGTGTATAACGGTTTATAAACACCCATAATCTGCACATAATCTTCTAATTCGGACTTTGATTTGTCTCCCTAACCAGTCCGAAATCATATATATATATATATATATATATATATATATATATATATATATATATATATATATATATATATATATATATATCTTCGTTTTGTCGGCAGCTATTTTACGAACGAAGAAGACAGCCGCCTGTGATGTCATCCTACAGTTCTCTCTAACCTTCATCGAATGTCTAGCTATAGCATGGCGCATCGCTCAAACTAAATCCAAGGACCTAATCACTGAAGTTGACATAAGCCAGCCAAGGTCCTCTAGCTCCCTCATCTTCAACACCCTGCCGATCCTTTGAACACAAACAGCCTCTCAAGAGTCGCTTTCTTTGGAACTTTTCTCGCTGCTATTTTAAACCATTATAATATGGTCCTAATGTGGCTTGGATCGCTGCTATTTTAAACTATTATAATATGGTCCCAATGTGGCTTGGTTCGCTGCTATTTTAAACCATTATAATATGGTCCCAGTGTGGCTTGGTTTGCTGCTATTTTAAGTCATGATAATAAGGTCCCATTGTGGCTTGGTTGCTTGCATCCTCATGTTTGTCCTCTATCTACACAATCAGTATGTCCTATGATCGATTGGTCCTATTGTGTGCCCTGTGATGGATTGGTCATTATGTTTGTCCTCTATCTACACAATCAGTATGTCCTATGATTGCTTGGTCCTATTGTGTGCCCTGTGATGGATTGGTCATTATGTTTGTCCTCTATCTACACAATCAGTATGTCCTTATGATTGCTTGGTCCTATTGTGCGCCCTGTGATAGATTGGTCATTATGTTTGTCCTCTATCTACACAATCAGTATGTCCTATGATCGTATGGTCCTATTGTGTGCCCTGTGATGGATTGGTCATTATGTTTGTCCTCTATCTACACAATCAGTATGTCCTATGATCGTATGGCCCTATTGTGTGCTCTCTGATAGATTAGTCATTATGTTTGTCCTCTATCTACACAATCAGTATATCCTTATGATCGATTGGTCCTATTGTGTGCCCTGTGATGGATTGGTCATTATGTTTGTCCTCTATCTACACAATCAGTATGTCCTATGATTGCTTGGTCCTACTGTGCGCCCTGTGATGGATTGGTCATTATGTTTGTCCTTTATCTACACAATCAGTATGTCCTATGATTGATTGGTCCTATTGTGCGCCCTGTGATGGATTGGTCATTATGTTTGTCCTCTATCTACACAATCAGTATGTCCTATGATTGATTGGTCCTTTTGAGTGCCCTGTGATGGATTGGTCATTATGTTTGTCCTCTATCTACACAATCAGTATGTCCTATGATTGATTGGTCCTTTTGAGTGCCCTGTGATGGATTGGTCATTATGTTTGTCCTCTATCTACACAATCAGTATGTCCTATGATCGATTGGTCCTATTGTGTGCCCTGTGATGGATTGGTCATTATGTTTGTCCTCTATCTACACTATCAGTATGTCCTATGATTGCTTGGTCCTATTGTGTGCCCTGTGATGGATTGGTCATTATGTTTGTCCTCTATCTACACAATCAGTATGTCCTATGTTCGATTGGTCCTATTGTGTGCTCTCTGATAGATTGGTCATTATGTTTGTCCTCTATCTACACAATCAGTATGTCCTATGATTGCTTGGTCCTACTGTGTGCTCTCTGATAGATTGGTCATTATGTTTGTCCTCTATCTACACAATCAGTATGTCCTATGATTGATTGGTCCTATTGTGTGCTCTCTGATAGATTGGTCATTATGTTTGTCCTCTATCTACACAATCAGTATGTCCTATGATTGATTGGTCCTATTGTGTGCTCTCTGATAGATTGGTCATTATGTTTGTCCTCTATCTACACAATCAGTATGTCCTATGATTGATTGGTCCTATTGTGTGCTCTCTGATAGATTGGTCATTATGTTTGTCCTCTATCTACACAATCAGTATGTCCTATGATTGATTGGTCCTATTGTGTGCTCTCTGATAGATTGGTCATTATGTTTGTCTTCTGATATACGTGCTCAGTCTGTGAACCCATTTAGTTTCAGTAATGAACATACTTGTAAAACAATTTTGCTAAATTTATATAAATCTCTTACATTTTTAGTCAATGAGTTTACTGTGATAATCACTGCACATTTGTTTAATTCATTTATTTATGTCTCGAGTTGAAATTGAAAGCAAAAGCTGAATAAACATTTAAATATTCTAATGTCATTGGTTTATGCTTTAGGCCTTGTTACCACAATGTATAACTCTAGTGTGAACTTAACATTTCAAATCCTAACTCAAAATTACAACAATTGTATTAAGGAAGTTCTGTTGTATTTGTTAACCATCTGCTTTAACACTAAAACAACACAAAGTCAGACAGAAAACAGAACGCAAAGTTTAGCGAAGAGATAGATCTATTTAGAAATACATCATGGACATGTATGTACACAACACAGGCATCAATGAAACCACAGCGTTCCATGGCACGAACCATACAGGTTCACTCTATGTACACTACTACACAAACACAATTATTTACATCAAATTTAAGGCTTTAAACCAAAATTAATTTGCATTTTTTTACATTACTGTAACAGTTTCAAATAATTAGGAGTACATTGCTTTATAAAATACAGAAACGAAAATACATTTTCATTCAAACACATGGGAAACATGTTAAGAAAATTATTTCTGATTTTTTAAAGTTGAATATGTTGAGTGCTATTTGGAATCAAAATTGTACTCATACTAGTTTCAAGCCAGCATGTACAACAACCAATTGACAGGATGCGACCCAGACATTAATTCTACACATCAAACACATGGCACAACAACATCAACACACAGATTCTTGTACACTGCTTGATGAAACAGATATGTAATTGGTGATAAAATGTATTGATACAGAGAAATATACATATCAACACAGTTGTCGGAGATCTTAGGATAGTTAGTATAGAGGTAACTAGGGTGTATACTGATGTTGATTGTATAGGGGTAACTAGGGTGTATACTGATGTTTGTTGTATGGGGTAACTAGGTTGTACACTGATGTTAGTATAAGGGTAATCAGGGTGTATACTGATGTGGGTTGTATAGGGGTAACTAGGGTGTATACTGATGTGGGTTGTATAGGGGTAACTAGGGTGTATACTGATGTTGGTTGTATGGGGTAACTAGGTTGTACACTGATGTTAGTATAAGGGTAATCAGGGTGTATACTGATGTGGGTTGTATAGGGGTAACTAGGGTGTATACTGATGTGGGTTGTATAGGGGTAACTAGGGTGTATACTGATGTTGGTTGTATAGGGGTAACGGGTGTATATTGATGTTGTTAGTATAAGGGTAATAGTGGTGTATACTGATGTTGTTAGTATAAGGGTAATCAGGGTGTATACTGATGTTAATTCTAACAGGAAAACTGCTAGTACTAGAGATACTTAATAAAAATATGTCATCTAATAATATACAAGGGGGAGCCACACTTAAAGTCATATTTAGTTTTTTCACCTGTAGAAATTTAAAAAGTTTAGATGTGTTCATGTATTCTAGGAATATTTTGTCTTATTTCTTATGGAAAGGTTCTCATTTCTAACAGGTACAAACAAACAGTCAAAGGTCATCTCTCTAGATTTGTAATTGGTCAAGCAGTCACTGCAATAAGCAGAATTGTTTTCAAACACAACAAGAAATATCCATACAAACAAACAGTCAAAGGCCAGCACTCTAGATTTGTAATTGGTCAAGCAGTCACTGCAATAAGCAGAATTGTTTTCAAACACAACAAGAAATATCCATACAAACAGAAAGTCAAGGGCCAGCACTCTAGATTTGTAATTTGTCAAGCAGTCACTGCAATAAGCAGAATTGTTTTCAAACACAACAAGAAATATCCATTCAAACAAACAGTCAAAGGCCATCTCTCTAGATTTGTAATTTGTCAAGCAGTCACTACAATAAGAATTGTTCTCAAACACAAGAAATATCCATTCATTCAAAACTTGAAAAACACCAATCATTTTACACAAAATAATTTGTCCAAATCAAAAAAATCACAGCAAAGATTAACAACAAAAATAAACAACCAAATTCTCAGAGTAAAAAAATTCTCGTTTGATGGATGACATGAACTTAAACCTGCCCAAAAAGAATGAGTTTCGCTTGACATTCATGCAAAAATAAAGTCCTATACTAGTACTGATTTTTGGTCCCACTGTTCACTACAATTTAATCTACATAATTTCAAGTGTTTTAAGTTGGAAAAAAAAACATTTAAGCATCAATATAATAAGATCACAAGATGATTAAACCTAACCACAAACCTTACAGGTTAGCTTACATTCTAGTGATACAGTACGTGGAACTGCCATACATTTTATGCAAGTGAAAACATATCTCCATCACATACTGACCAATGTCAGCAAGTGCTTCACACAATAAAAATATCAAGTATACTGATTCAGTACTCAGCGCTCAATTTATACAGTAACAAGCTCTAATAAACAGTGTTACCAAGTGCTTCACACAATAAAAATATCAAGTATACTGATTCAGTACGGGCGATCAGCGCTCAATTTATACAGTAACAAGCTCTAATAAACATTGTTACCAAGTGCTTCACACAACAAAAATATCAAGTATACTGATTCAGTAAGGGTGATCAGCGCTCAATTTATACAGTAACAAGCTCTAATAAACAGTGTTACCAAGTGCTTCACACAATAAAAATATCAAGTATACTGATTCAGTACGGGCGATCAGCGCTCAATTTATACAGTAACAAGCTCTAATAAACAGTGTTACCAAGTGCTTCACACAATAAAAATATCAAGTATACTGATTCAGTACGGGCGATCAGCGCTCAATTTATACAGTAACAAGCTCTAATAAACAGTGTTACCAAGTGCTTCACACAACAAAAATATCAAGTATACTGATTCAGTACGGGCGATCAGCGCTCAATTTATACAGTAACAAGCTCTACTAAACAATGTTACCAAGTGCTTCACACAACAAAAATATCAAGTATACTGATTCAGTACGGGCGATCAGCGCTCAATTTATACAGTAACAAGCTCTACTAAACAATGTTACCAAGTGCTTCACACAATAAAAATATCAAGTATACTGATTCAGTACGGGCGATCAGCGCTCAATTTATACAGTAACAAGCTCTACTAAACAATGTTACCAAGTGCTTCACACAATAAAAATATCAAGTATACTGATTCAGTACGGGCGATCAGCGCTCAATTTATACAGTAACAAGCTCTAATAAACAGTGTTACCAAGTGCTTCACACAACAAAAATATCAAGTATACTGATTCAGTACGGGTGATCAGCGCTCAATTTATACAGTAACAAGCTCTAATAAACAGTGTTACCAAGTGCTTCACACAACAAAAATATCAAGTATACTGATTCAGTATGGGTGATCAGCGCTCAATTTATACAGTAACAAGCTCTAATAAACAGTGTTACCAAGTGCTTCACACAATAAAAATATCAAGTATACTGATTCAGTAGGGTGATCAGCGCTCAATTTATACAGTAACAAGCTCTACTTAACAATGTTACCAAGTGCTTCACACAACAAAATTATCAAGTATACCGCTTCAGTGGGGGTAATCAGCTGTCACTTTATACAATAACAAGCTCTAAAACACATCTCCATTGAATATCTAAACATTTCTTCATGTGCTTAACAAAACTAAACTCAATTACACTGTATCAAAGCTGGCTTGTAGCAATTGGAAACACAGTAGCAAGATACTAGCAAAAAAAAAAGAAAAAGTATAGTGCAATGGGGCCTAGGTTTACACTGCACGTTTAAGGTGTGGGTTCAAAACATAGACAAATAATGATGAGTACTTACATTAGTCTAATCTTGTTCTACTGTAAACATGGGCTTTTAGTGCATGAAGTATGTGATCAATATTTATTTTGGCACCTTTCAACTAACAGCAATGTGCCTTACATCTAGACAGAGCTCTGGAACCAAATATATATAGAACTGTCCTGAAACCCACTATATCTAAAACTGCCCTGAAACCCACTTTATAAATAGAGATATCCTGAAACTCACACATCTACCGTAAAACCCTCTATGTATATGCAGAATTGTCCTAAAACCCACTATATCTAAAACTGTCCTGAAACCCACTTTATAAATGGAAATATCCTGAAACCCACTATATCTAAAACTATCCAGAAACCCACTTTATAAATGGAAATATCCTGAAACCCACTATATCTAAAACTACCTTAAAACCCTCTATGTATATACAGAAATGTCCTATAACCACAACATCTAGCCACTGCTGTTAAACCTGCCACATCTAGCCACTGCTGTTAAACCTGTCACATCTAGCCACTGTTGTTAAACCTGCCACATCTAGCCACTGTTGTTAAACCTGCCACATCTAATCACTGTTGTTAAACCTGCCACATCTAGCCACTGCTGCCGCATCTAGCCACTTGTTAAACCTGCCACATCTAGCCACTTGTGTTAAACCTGCCACATCTAGCCACTGGTGTTAAACCTGCCACATCTAGCCACTTGTGTTAAACCTGCCACATCTACCCTATATCGTTTAACCCCACACATCTCGAACTGTCCTGAAACCAATACATTTCATAACCCTAGGCCACACTGACACTTTGAAGAAGATTGAGGAAAAAAAAATTACACTGAACAATAAGCTATAAATTGAAAAAATGTTGCCTTCCAAATAGTTTTTAGAATGAGTGTAAAATGCTCACTAAAACAATTCTTGCTATTTTAAACATAGCAAATACTTTTGTAAAAGGGGCTCACAAAGCTAATTGTTTTTCTGGATTCAAGTTATCATTATCATTTTCAATTGCAACAGGCTGACAGCTCAAGGGAAATAATGCAAATGTCGACAAAAGGGAAATAACTTCTTTTTAAAACATCACATAAGTAATCATCCCTCAACAACTGAAAAAAACTAAGAGTTAACACTCATTCATGTACTTGATGTTCTTGTGTGAGCGCAGCTTCCTGTAAATATTTGACAATGGTCTGCAGTGGCTGGGAGGTTCTGTCTGACGTGGGTACGACTTGGGCTAGATCCTGGGACACGGCCTCCGTCAGGACTACTGCAAGAAACAAAAGAAACATTGACCTCACCAAACTCCCATCCTGGAACAACAAGAGTAAAGCAACAACACAGATGATGACAACCCTGCTAAAACCAATACTGTGTTGAACTTGATGGTGTAAAATTAATACAAGAAAAAACAAGTATAAAGAGAAATTTACGAATTATTAACATTATAGTCTATAGGGCAGTCTAGAACTAAAGATCAACTTTCTAATAGGGTATAGGGAAAATAAAGATTGAGTCACCATTGCAATGTCAAGTCAGTGGGTTAGGGACATCTCAGGGACTTTTAGTTTCCCAATAAATATGGTAAATTTATCTATGCTGGGAGGGATAGTTACATCTTACGAACTAGATTCAGAGAACTAAGCCCAAGACTTTCGTCTAATTTACTCTCATGGGTACATTACTTATGTTAGGGAAAGTAAAGGCGGCTGGGCATAGTGCTGGCCACACTATAACTTCATGTGCCGAGGTATTATAAACAGGTAAGACAGAAAGACTTAGTATGCTGCCCTGTACTGTAAGATAGAAAGACTTACTATGCTGTCTTATATAGTAAGACTGCAAGACTTACTATGCTGCCCTTTATTGTAAGAAAGACTTACTATTTTGCTCTGTATCATTAAGACATAAAGACTCACTATGCTGCCCTGTATTGTTAGACAGCAACACTTATTATGCTGCCCTGTATTGTAAGACAGCAAGACTTACTATACTGCCCTGTATTGTAAGACTTACTATGCTGCCCTATATTGTTAGACAGCAACACTTATTATGCTGCCCTGTATTGTAAGACAGCAAGACTTACTATACTGCCCTGTATTGTAAGACTTACTATGCTGCCCTATATTGTTAGACAGCAAGACTTACTATACTGCCCTGTATTATAAAAAAAAAACTTACTATGCTGCAACTGTCCCTGTGACCTCTGCTGCTGTGTGACAGGACAGTCTTTGTGAGCCAACAATAAAGTTTTCAGCTGCGCCACCTCGCCTCGCAGTAGCTTCACCTCAGTCTGGCAAGACACAATTTTTTAGTCACGGTTAGGGTTGGTTGAGTCAGGGTTGGTTGAGTCAGGGTTGGTTGAGTCAGGGTGGTTATAAAAAATGTATATTTGAAATAACTGTTTGACTCAGGGTTATCTGAGCCAGGAATTTAAATTAACCAGTTCTCCTCGTGTTGTTAATAAAGAATATCATTAAATTAACATGCTACAGTTGCTTTTTATTGGACAACTCAGAGTATCTGGAGTTGAATAGTAACAACCCACAAAGAAAAGTAAACAAACTTGGTCACGAAAATATCTCAAGCACTTATTTAGCTTATTTATCAGAATTAGCTTAAAAAAAAAAAAAAAAAAAAAAAAAAAAAGAAACTAGCACTAAAACAAAAAATTCATTTGAAACCTAGCAGTAAAAAAATCAAACTATGCCCCACCTGCAACCTGAAGTTAGTGTTTTGCAGCTCATCAGCTTTTTTCTCCAAGTTGCTGATCCAGTGTTTCCTCTTCTGTCTGCATCTGGCTGCTGCCGCTCTGGTCAGAAAGACAGGTAAATATTTTTTGTTAAACACCACCAGGTAAAAACTATTTTAAAACTTCAAAACTCTTGAGTAAAAACTACAGGAAAACTAACAGCAAAATTCTTTATATTAATAATGTGACTGTTACCATTCAACAATGTTTACCTCCCAGTAACATGCTTTAAAATAACGTGACTATTACCTTTCAACAATGTTTACCTCCCAGTAAAATGCTTTATAATAATTTTACAGTTACCATTCAACAATGTTTACCTCCCAGCAACATGCTTTATAATAATGTGAACTGTTACAATTCAACAATGTTTACCTCCCAGCAAAATGCTTAATAATAATGTGACAGTTACCATTCAACAATGTTTACCTCCCAGCAACATGCTTTATAATGTGACTGTTAACATTCAACAATGTTTACCTCTGATCAAAAAGCTTTATAATAATGTGACTGTTACCATTCAACAATGTTTACCTCCCAGCAAAAAGCTTTATAATAATGTGAACTGTTACCATTCAACAATGTTTACTTCCCAGCAAAATGCTTTATAATAATGTGAACTGTTACCATTCAACAATGTTTACTTCCCAGCAAAATGCTTTATAATGTGACTGTTAACATTCAACAATGTTCACCTCCCAGCATAAAGTGTTTTTTAAAATTAGGTCAGTTAACATTCAACAATGTTCAACTCCCAGTAAAATGCTTTATAATAATGTGACTGTTACCATTCAACAATGTTTACCTCCCAGCAAAAAGCTTTATAAAAAGTTGACTGTTACCATTCAACAATATTTACCTCCCAGCAAAAAGCTTTATAAAAAGTTGACTGTTACCATACAACAATGCTTACCTATTTCTTTCCAAAAACTTCCTCCTTCTTTCCTCAGGGTCCCCACTCTCAGGGCTCATCTTCTGGCGTTTGCTGGATTAAAAAAAAAATCAGATCCCTATAAAAGACTAACTTCAGTGTCATCTACTAAACAACTCCAAACTTTTTAAAGTGACTGTGCCTGTGAAATCCTAAAGTGTTTAGGAAACTCAAATTACATGCTCCTTCCCTAACTTCCACCACTCCCCATCTTATTTCATTAGAAAACTAATATCTTTTCTATTCATATAGACACAATCTCGGAATTCATGAACTAAGAGACTTCTTAAGAATTATTGATGTAAAATAATTTGTTTCTTAAACTGTTGTGTTTCATTCAACATACATGTACTGATAATAATAAAAAAATTAATGTAAAAGCCTACTAGTGAGTAAGGATTAAAAATAATAAATTTACTGGACCTACCCTATAGGTTATAGATAAAAATTAACTAACTCACTGGACTAACCATAGTTCCTATAGAAAAAAACGAAACACACCTGTCTATAGAGTAATCAGATGAATCAGAGAAGTTCATCTCAGATCCAGGCGAGTCCACCATCATGATGGGGGAGGTGTCCCCCACCATGGCTTGTCCTGATATAGAGGTGGCAGCGTTGGAAATGTAGGCTGTGGAATTGGATGTAGGGAGGCTGACTTCAGAACTTTTGGCTGTGGGGCTCAGCTGGCTTTGAAGCTGTGCTTTTAACCTCTGAGAACAAAAGACACAATCTGATGAAAAATGTTATCAATGCAAGGTGGCATCAAAGTAGATGTTAGAATATCACATAAAGAACAAATCAATGATTCTTCTTTAGTATAAACACCACTAAATTGATAACATTACCAGAATATTTACTTACATTTAGCAGAGACATTCTAAATTTCTTCCTAGATTTTATTTATTAAACTGCTAGAATTAATATCTATATTTTCTTAAAACCTTTTATATTATTCACTATAATCAGGTACAAAATGTCCCATTCCTATCTAGGTTTTATTGAAAGTACAAAAACATTAAGTTTGCTCTAAGACTTTGTGGCTAATAGAGTAGAAGAAACAGAGTTTTGACCTCAGTGTATGGATTGGGTGATTTACACTACACTGAGCTGCATTTGACTCCCCTGATGGTCATGTACCATTCACAACTAAGTAGACTACACACATGAGCGTGATAGCCAAACTCAAAACATTTAGGTTATGAGCTGCAGGCCCTATCCCTAATTAAGTAATAAACCCATTTAAACTTGACTAAGCATAAAAAAAATCCAACCTGTTTTAAAGCCATTGTGGTTGTCTGACTAGAGGCTAACATTGGAGCTGTGGATTTAGCAGGGGCTGGTTGGATTTGCTGAGGTAGAGCCTGCGATAGCTGCACTTGTTGCGAGTTGAAGTATGGAAGTTTGTTGATGGTGGCTGGGATACTGATGGGGACTGAAACATAAAAATATAGGTACAGTGGATGGGATACTGATGGGGACTGAAACATAAAAATATAGGTACAGTGGATGGGATACTGATGGGGACTGAAACATAAAAATATAGGTACAGTGGATGGGATACTGATGGGGACTGAAACATAAAATTATAGGTACATTGGATGGGACTGGAACATAAAAATATAGGTATAGTGGATGGGATACTGATGGGGACTGAAACATAAAAATATAGGTACATTGGATGGGACTGGAACATAAAAATATAGGTATAGTGGATGGGATACTGATGGGAACTGGAATATAAAATTATAGGTACATTGGATGGGATACTGATGGGGACTGAAAAATAAAAATATAGGTACAGAGGATGGGACTGGAACATAAAAATATAGGTACAGTGGATGGGATAAGATTGGGACTGGAACATAAAAAGTTGGTGGCTAAGAAAGATAATTTCGGATAGAAAATCCAGGAATGGAGTGACATCTAGCATTAATCATGTTTAACCCTTTGAGCCCTGGCCTACCTGACCTAATTTCTCCTATTTCCTGAGCTCCCAGGCCCAAACCGATTTTCACTTATGTGCTTCTAAATTTGCCTATAACTTTTGAACCGTTTGAGATAATCAAGCCAAATTTGGTATCCTGACTCAGGATCAAACAACAATGCAGCAAGATTCTGAAATTCTTTATTTTTTTTACAATGTTTGAACAGAACAATGTATATAAAACGAACACATAATTATTGTTTTGATAGAACATAGAAGAAACCAATTTACATTTAGTAATTGTTTTGTTATTATTGATACCTGGCCACACTAGTTCATCACCAGAAGTCCACTTTTGTGTGATAACTTTCAAAACAGTCATCACTGCCGGACCCGATGCAAAGAAAAAATTTGCATGTTTTGCATCAGTAAACATTTTTTTTTCGTTTCGGCAAGTTTTTGTCCTTGACACCACGTGCATCAGAACGTACTTGAACAGTTTCATTGCCACTGTCAATTTCAATGTCACTGTGTTCAGTCTCAAATTCATCACAATATAGACCAAGAATATTATCCTCTTCATCAGAATCAATAAGTAGTTGTATTGCCTGAGATGCAGTCATTCTACTCCTTTTGTTGATATTTCGGTCTTTTGCTTCATCTTTTGCACCAACTTTTTGTGATGAAGTCGACGGCTGTGGCTCAGCTTTTCGTTTCGGCGGCATTGCTACGAAATGTAAACACTTTCACTTTTCCTAAAAATCAATTTTTAAAATCATAATCCCGCACTCAAAAGACATATGCGCAGTTTTAGTCAGTCTTCCGCTAATAATATTTAACTAGCCGACCCGCTGCATATCGTACGCCGCTATTTAGTTGTTGTTTTTTCTACTTTTCAGTTATTCATAATTTGTGAATTCGACACTACCAACGCAGCTAATGAAAATATTTCTTTAAAACACTATAAGTAGCTCGTTAAGGACGATAACCCCCCTCCTCCCCCCCCCCCCTCCGTTAAAGTAAACTCCACTTAGTTACCCCCCCCCCCCCCCCCACGTTTAAAATCGTTTCAAACTAAATTATCTGCCCCTAATAGTCGTCACTAAACCCAGATCTGTTTGTAAACATTTAGAGTGAACCACAGCTCACCAGACCATGTAGGGGTGGGGGTGGTAGGGAGCGCGTTTACAGCTTGTTTTCTAGCGTCTCCCAGAAGAGAATTATATATATAGATTAGACGGTATACCGGCCGCTAGGAATATGACGCTAGATCATTGGGCCGGAAAACCGGCTTTTCTGACATATGTGCCTAATGTTGAAGCCGGTTTACCGGCCTGGCGGGCTCAAAGGGTTAAAGCTGCCTGCAATGTGGAGTCAAAGTCTGGCATTACCCAAAATAAGAAAACATTTTACTAATTTTTTTTTCCACAAAAATATATGACTTTAAACATCAAATTTTTTTTTTAAACACCAGATGTATTAAAATTGTAAACAAATAACTTGGCATAGTCAAACAGACCTGTCTCCCCAGTGGGAAGCTGCAGCAGAACTTGCATGGTACACTGTTGATTGTCTGTCAGATTTATGTCCCCTTCGTCCATCTCCTTTTTGACCTCTTGCTGGAAGGCTGTGAGGCTGGATGAAGTCACGGGATTATGGCTGCTGAAAACAAGCGGAGAACATGATGTCACATGAACAGTTTCATAATTACACACACAAAAAATGCACAAACACGCTAGGCTAGACCTAACCACAGTAACATTCTTAGGAGCTGACCTAACCACAGTTACATCTGGGAACTGACCTAACCACAGTAACATCTGGTGAAATGACTTAACCACAGTAACATCTTGGGAACTGACCAAAGCACAGTTACATCTAGCGAACTGACCTAACACAGTAACATTCTTAGGAGCTGACCTAACCATAGTAACATCCTGGGAACTGACCATAGTAACTTCCACAGAACTGACCTAAGCACACAAACACCTAGAGAACTGACCTAACAGAATGAGCAATTTGAGGTGAGGTCTCTAAAGCCATGACCTGTTCATGCACAGGTGAGACATCACTTGTGCTGTCAGCATCCTGTGAAAACAATAGGTCATACATAAGGTCATTGACTATGTCAAGATATTAGCATAAAATAGTGATCAATGCATTGGTATTAATACTGCGATAAAAAAGGCAAATCTAAACTGTTAAATATTGGTGCTATCATCATACAGTGTCAACATGTTTTACATGTAAACAATTAAAAGCTAAAAAATGTGACAGTAGCCCTAGCAAAGCAAGTTTCAGTAGAACAGATAACACTAAAAACTTGGTAAATGAGGGTAAAGCTAAAAATGTCTAAATTGGTTCTAATCTAGGCCACTGAAGAGTTCTTCCAGTTAAAAGGCATTCCCATCTTTTATTGAAAAAAGGCAGCTGGGAAACATTCTGGGTACAATAAGCCTGCTATTCCACTGCAAAAAAGAGTCTTAAGGACAACTTGATCCAAGGCAAGTTTCTCCACCAATGGTAGCTAATCTGTCTTGCTTGATCCTTCATGTCATGTGTCCTGGGTTTTCTTCATCATGTGCTCTCAGTTATTTTTTGGGCCCTTTTTTTTTCTCTTGGGATTCTAGGTGAGGGCCTGTTTTGAAGTACTCACTATCAGCTTCCTAATAGTGTGACTAGTTCATCACTGGCCACATGATAGGTGGCTATAAAAACAGATGACCTCAACTTCATGAAAAATGCTGATGGGTAGATCCAAAACAGTTCTTCAATTTTGACTAAGTTAAATTTTTCATAGAATTATGTGCCATATTGAATGATTAAGACTACGGCTTCAGAAACAGGCCAGTGAAGGGAAATATCTCATCAAATCATCTACTAACCTGGGCGGTTAAATTCCTCTTGGCAGCCATTTTGTTGGCAGCTGGCTGGGCTGTCATCACACTTTTCCCAGACAGGTCCAGGACAATCTTGCTAGCAGAGGTTTTAGCCAATGGGCTGGGCTTGGGTGGTTCGTTAGCTTTCACCTGGCCAAGGTGAGCTGTGGCTCCCGCCAGGTGTTTAGGCGTGTCTGTCAGTATAAGTGTGGGGGTGTTCAGTTCCCCAGTGGGTGGACCAGGTAAAGGAGGCTGGGAGATTTAAAAATGTTCTGGTTTATTTATAGTGGAAAGATCAAACAAAAACATGATGGACATTCTTAGTTTTTTTTAAAATACACCTTTTTTTTTCGTAAGTGATTTCGTAAATGAAAATTTTGCAATTAACCAAAATATTTTAAAAAGAATAAAATACTAAAAAAAAGTATTTTTAAAACATACAGAAAATAAAAATTAAGTATTCCATCCATTCAAAACATCCTAATTTATAAAAGGCCATGTGCGCTCTTCTCTCTCTCTCTCTCTCTGTCTGTCCGCAAAATATTTTCGCCGGACATCACGTCAGAATCGGCAGCGATATATGGATACCTTTATACGGACTTTTGTTGAAAATAATATGTTAGATGTTTTAAATGTATAACCACAAAATTATTTAAAGAAGAAAAATAAAAAATAAAGGCGTATTCGAATGTAGAGAAACAGTATTATTTATGCAACCGGAAAAGCATTAATATATGTGAAAAAGAACGCATAAAACTATGACGTCACTATTGCTTATACATTAACTAATGACGTCATCTGCCGTGTTTAGAATGAAAAGAAATGAACTATTTTATTCAAATTTGATTTAGATCTACGTACACTATGAAATGTATACAATACAATTTTTCCGGCCTAAACTCATAAAATTTATTTTATGTATTTGGATTCTAGATCTAGAGATTCTAGATCTAGACTAAATCTAAATCTAAATCTACGCAATAACTAGATCTAGACGTAGACGCTAAGATCTAGATTTAGACTCTAACTTCTCTAAAATCAATTCCAAAAATAAATTTCTATATTAGGACTAAACTATTTCAAGACTTATTTATTTTATACAAAATCTTTGTTTGGAACTGGCTAATTTGGGATAAAAAATTAATTTGAAAGAATAGGCATATTCGCGTAAGTTAAGATTTTAAAATACGTGTTTCATTCTCCGTATTTTATAAGGTGCCTAAATAGCGGAGATGTTAGTGTACATTAAACCACGCAGGTGGTGCGGGTTCGAGACACAGCAAGTCATCTTGGTTAATGTATTCTTTTTTATTATGCTCGGGCTAAACTTAAAAAAAAAATTCTTTTAGGAATCTAGATCTAGATCTAGATTGTCGGGTGTCCGATAGGGCACTTCCCGGCGCCGCAGGCGCTTCAAATTTGGCAAGATCTTGCCTTGGTGCGACAGAACACGGGGGCCGGTTGGCCGAAAAGTCTACGGTGTGGGGGTCAAAACTGACCTCGACTGACCGGCGCCTTATATGAGCTATAAATAAAAAAAAATGTCCACGGAGGAACCTCTTCAAATTTGTTGTATACAGGAGCGTGTTAAATTCGCCAAACTAGGTACACTACAGATGTTACCCAACTTTGAGACTTTGCCCATACAATCAGAGATATAAGCCAAACAAGACAACATATAAAACAAAAACCCTTTCTTTTTGGTGTTTTCATAATCTCAACAATGTTTCATTTTAATTCTCCAGATCAATAAAATGTTTCTTTTTCTAATTTTCCGATAATGACTTTTTTTAAAAAGCTGAATTACAATTCATTTCATTAATCACTTTCTGTAGATATATGCAGCTTTTTCAGGCATTTCTACTGTTTCTTCTCTTTTCACCTCGGAACGAAATTGAAAAAAAAGTATTTCATAAAAAAAATAGAGAAAAATCATTATCCGCTGCCCCCCCCCCCCCCCCCATCCTTCCACGGAAAGTTTTAAGAGCTGCTACCCGGAGATAAGTATGTAAAAGAAAAACTGAGTCACATATATGTATGTGAAGAGAAGAGAGCTAAAATTCACAAGAATTGCCCGTGTAACGGGTACCGATGGCTAGTTTAATGATATAGGCCTACTCTCAAATGAAAATGTTGGAGCCCATACATATTTTTGAAAGACAGTATTTAATTTTTTTTTAAATGTTTAGTATATTATAAACATTTTGAAAAAGATATTATCAAATTCAAATGTTACAGCACATTATAAACATTTTGAAGAAGATATTCTCAAATACAAATTTTACAGTGAATTAAAATTATACTCATAAAAACTTACATCACTGTCCAGTGCTTTTTTGTAGGCATGATCAAATGGGTTAGAGGAAAGCTCTTGAAATAGTCCAATTTCCTCACAGGTTTTTAAAAACTTTGTAGGAGTGGGAGTCTGATCTGTAAGTAGTAATAATTTTTATAAGAAGTTTTAAGAACATTTCCTAAACTAGTCAATAAGACATGATCATTTCTGCCAATTTACTTATGAAGCTAAAAAAAATGAACTATTACAAAAAGAGCAGGAACTCATTTAAGATAAATAATTATTATATTGATGAGAAGGTTTTTTTAATTTTTTTTAATGATTTTAAAAGAATATCTAAATTTAATAATTACAATAAGATTTTAAAAAAACAACACATGAACCTGCTTGAAAAAAGTTTTCAATGACATGTCAATAACATAGTTTCTTAATAAAACAGTTTTTTATGTTTACATAATGATAACACATGAAAGTTAACTAAATAACAGTAGTGGGTTGTTTACCTAAAAAATGATGAGCAGGTGAGTTACTTGACTGTCCCCCAGAGTTCAAGGCCAATGACATTTCATGTTTCTTTGAATGGACATTAAGGTGATCTTCATTTGTAAATCGCTGAAATATAATTAAGTTTATATTCTTTAGGATTCTCAATATGCGGTAGGACACAGATTCTGCATGCTCAACTTCCAAAATTTTTTTTTAAAAATAAAGCTCACTAAGTATAAAATGTAGACAAACTTACAGGTACAAAGTAAAGATAATACCTAAAAATAGGTACTCACCATGCCACAATCAGACACAGAGCAGACAAATGGTTTATCATCATTCATATCTACAGGTCTGACTTAGGCATTCAGTGCCTACAATCAATAAATTCACCTGACTGTTAAATTACCACTGAAAATTAAGAACATTGAAACAGTTTGTTACTTTTGTCTTAACTCTATCCAATACACTGGAACAAACAGCCTGGTTCTTTTATCATGTTGTTATGAAACCAGGATTTTACCAAGAATGCCTGCATCAGTATCTCTTTCTTGCCCCCCCCCCCTTCCCACAACTGTAGACAGGTTCACATCAGTCATCATCTCCTCACTCACTAAGTGACTAACAGAAACTAAGCTACTAAGCTGAGATTGCCTGAGACAGTTGAGTAAGCTGGGTCCTAGACTCAGCTCTCCTACAGACACTACAGTTAGATCTAAGTACTGAGTACACTCAGAGTACACACATTGTACACCTTTGACTTGCCGCTTTGAGTGCCTTGCTTTGTACTTTGTGCCTCACTGTCACACTATCTGAGTACTTAGAATCTATCTAGAATCTAGATCTAGCTTGATTCTAGATATATTCTAGATCTCAGATCTATCTACGACTATCTAGCTAGTCACTAGACTGTGACTAGACTAGATATCTAGTAGATCTAGTAAGTAGTGGACACTAGATCTAACTCTTTACTGTGCTGAGACTCACTTTCACTTCAGTCTCATTCGCAGGATCTGGTTTCGCGATTATCATCAAATCATGTCATATTGATTTGGTACAAATAAAAAATGTAAGCAAAACCATCAATTTAGATTTTCGTTTTTGTTATCAAAACCTAGACCTGTGATCGTTTTTTTTTGGCTTCTTAATGTCAAGGAATCAGGTTATTTGTCTATTTACCTACATTAAATACGAAAAGTTAAAAATATTCTTACCTGTCAGGAAATTCCAGTTAACATGTAAGTAAGCACTAGATGGCGCACTAAATGTTTGTTTACTTCCGCAAATTGTAGGTCCCAAAGTCCCAGACTAAAAAAAACTTTTCCATCATTAAAACTGAGCTAACAATTTAATCAAACGCTAGTTTAAATTATATTAGTCTTATTTTAATTATTGAAATTCAGATTTGCCTGTCAGCTTTTTTCAATGCAAAGAAATGTAAAACTCAGCATCTTTTTTATTATTATAATGTCCTTTGCTTTTGTTTTGATACCTTCTTAAATCTAAAGATAGAACTTAATCACGTGATATGATATCATGTGATTATAAAATGGATTCTGCTACGAGCAAAACTTTGCTGTATGCTATTCAAATTTATTGCGTATTCAGTTTAATATGTAGCGAATATGCTGTCTCAGAATCTCCGAATATCATTTTTATTCTAGCAGATGATCTCGTACGTTATTTTACTTTATTTTTTAAAATGTTTACCTTTACTTTATCGAAATGTATGCATCTAATGACATAGTTTTTTTTTAGATTTATTAGATTTAGAATCGGTAATCTATCGTTTTGGGTACGTAAAATCGCCCGCGATTTGTAATGTGAAAACCAGGTGACTTCTTAAATTTTAATAATTATTTCACATTTTGAGGAGGATTTATGTTTTAAAAAATTCAAAAATGTTTCCTTGATTCATTTATGTACCTGTTTTTAAACAATTGAATTAAAACTTTTCCGTAATAAATGAAGACTAGCGATGTTTCCAACAGATGCAACCATGCTCATTTACTATAGCAGCCATCTTGTCTAAGTTTTATTTTTATAAGCTTTTAGCGCCAGATTCAGGGGGAAGCCACTCTATTTTACAAATGGCTGCTGTTTATATAGCAAATCTTGCTCTCAGACACTGCTGTTTAAAGTTAATTTCTGGCCTATATCGATATATTTAGCAATTGATTTAGGTTTATTATTCATTTATCTATAACATTTGACACAAAAGTATGACAATAAACATCTATTAATGCCTTGACAATGAGGTAACGTTTTCGTACATAAATAGCCGCGGGCGATTTTACGTACCCAAAACGATAGATTACCTTAGAATCTTTGCTTAAAAATTTTAAAATGTTTTCATTTAGTTGAGCTCTACAAGAATACGTAATTTTTATTTTTATATGATGATTAGTGTTTTTTTTACCAAAATCCCTACATAGATTCTAATAATTCTATGTATAATAATAATAATGTAATCAGGGGCGTAGAGAGGGGGGGGGGGGGAGGCAGGGGGTGCGGACACTACCAGGTGACACCATTTAGGGGGGTGACACCAAGGCAAAAAATTGCAAAATCTATAGAGAAAAACTTGAGGGGGGGTGAAAATCGAAAGTTTGAGGGGGGGGGGGGGGTGCAAATCGAAAACTTGAAAGTTTGTCCCTGGGAAGGGTCACAACGCCTCTGGAGGGGTGACACCATTAAGTGCCGCACTGGGTGACACCCGACCTCGCTATGCCACTGAATGTAATCAGGGGCGTAGCGAGGGGGGGGGGGAGGCAGGGGGTGCGGACACTACCAGGTGACACCATTTAGGGGGGTGACACCAAGGCAAAAAATTGCAAAATCTATAGAGAAAAACTTGAGGGGGGGTGAAAATCGAAAGTTTGAGGGGGGGGGGTGCAAATTGAAAACTTGAAAGTTTGTCCCTGGGAAGGGTCACAACGCCTCTGGAGGGGTGACACCATTAAGTGCCGCACCGGGTGACACCTGACCTCGCTATGCCACTGAATGTAATGTATATTATTAAAATTATTATATTATAATTGTATATGAATGTTATTATTATGTATTATTGTATTTGTAGTAATTTTAAGTAATGTATAGTATGTAGTGTTTCTGCTGTTTACACTACACTACACAGTTACACAACTCTCACTGATTTCTCACAAGTCCAACAACACTCGAACAAGTCGAACAACACAACAATTCCAACAAACGGCTCAGTGAATTGTTATTTAATATTTATCATATCATTTAATATTTAATATCATTATTAATTATATGATATTAATATTAATTATTATGATACCTTCCGACTTCGCGTTTCGACTTCACTGAAACCCTTCACCCAGTCACTGACACTGCTTTCTCACTCTTAGGGGTCATCCATAAATGATGTCACGCTTTTTTTTACGAATTTTACATCAGAAGGACACTAAAATGTAGCCTAGAGGACCTAAATTTTGCAGAAAATGTAACTGAACTAGCTAGTAGTCAAAAAGATATTTTAAAAAAGCTAAACAGATGTATTTCTTTTGCTAACAGAGTAGGACTCAAATTAAAAATGGACAAAACACAACTAGCCAAGAGTCTATTAAATAAACAACATAACACAACTAGCCAAGAGTCTATTAAATAAACAACATAGGTAGAGGAAGTAGAAGATTTCACACATTTAGGCAGCAGAGTCAATTACGAAGGAAACTTGACCACTGAAGCCAAACTAGCCTTTGTAACCATGCAAAAAACATGGTAATAAAAAATCTTCTCCAAGATCAAACACAGACTTTTCAAAAGTAATTCATAAGTTTCTTTCTGTATGGCAGCTATAATGCTGGAAAGAAAGAACCTTTACCAGCAGATCACTGGATTTTTTCCTAACTAAATAAAAGGCGTCGACTGGCCCAACACCATCTCCAATGAAAGATTACCAGGAGAAATGCAAACGGAAGCCATTTTAGAAATTTGAAAAAAGAAAATGGCTCTGGATGGGTCACAATTTGAGAATGAGTTCAGAAAATATTACAGAAATGATGCTTATCTGGACACTTCAGGGGAAGAAGAAAACAGGGAAGGCCAAGGGAGATATGGAGGCACACAGCAGAAAAACAAGAAAATTGCCAGAGACATGCAAAAGTGGAAAGAGCTTTCTGTGGTGACCCCATGTGCCTTGGGCACAAATGGGAAAAATGAGATGATGAGTTAAAGGTAGTTAATAATTCTAGTAGACAAAGATCTCTAATACAAAAGCAAACAGGGGTTTTTCACTATTTTAGAATTTGTACTAATTATGTTAATTAAATTATGAGAATATAATAAATATTAGTGTTTTTTTTGTGTATGTGTGATTAAATCAATAATATAAAATTATTACCATTTTTAGTAATTTAATAATATTAGACCAAGTATTGAATTTAGATAAATATTTTAAGAAAAGCCAGTTTGGTATTTTGACATAGTAAACCTAAATATATCTGGATCTATCGATTCTATATGACTTTAAAAATGTATTGTATTTGTAACCACTAGTATGAGATGGCTTAAAGTCATTAAAATATGAACTTTATTAAATACGCCTACAGTTTTTATAACAGTAACAATCATGAAAAGCTCAGTTTGATTTAAAAAAAAACTAACCATAAAGTCACAGTACACATTTTCCACAACTTTTTTTATTATTGGTGTTTTCCAGGGCTGGGATGATGTCGGCTTCCATGGATCAGAAATTCTTACACCAAATATAGACAAACTAGCACAAGAAGGTGTAATATTAAATAACTACTATGTACAGCAAATGTGCACTCCCTCTAGGGGAGCTCTCCTAACTGGAAAATACCCAATACATACTGGTTAGAAACATTACTAATCTTTAAATTGTAAGTTTGTTGTACTTGTAGTAATTATTCTTGAACAAATCAAAAGAAAAGCAGTAATGTATACATTTTTATTTAATGGTTAATATGTAGCTACATTTTAAAAATTGAAATGGTTTTAGTTACTTGACATTTTAGCTATTTGCATAATTTTTTCCTAGGACTGCAGCATTATGTGATAGCAGGCTCTCAACCATATGGCTTGCCTTTGTCAGACACAACCCTAGCTCAACATTTACAAGCTTTTGGCTATTCCACTCATGCTGTTGGAAAAGTAAGCCAGTGTGTTTTTTTTTTAATATTAAAAAAATGTGCACAATTGTGAAAAAAAACATACAAATATAAAGTATTCTTTTTAATTTAGTTATAATATACATTTAAGAGTTGAATAAATCAATGAATGCAAAAAAACTGCAAATAAATTAATTAGATATATTTGAAAAAGCCTATTTTTCTAATGATTAGATTTGAAATATTGGTTATCACATTATCAGTATCTATTAATAGCTCAACATGTTGGCATGCAGATTTTCTAGCACTAAACTACTCTTAGTATTAGTAGTACACACAGTAATTGTAAGAACTTTTGCATGCTTAATTTAAGTTAGTCATTAAAAAACTTACAAGGTGTCTGTTGAGGCTGCTGAAAATATAGACGACCATAGCAATAATTGTTGATGCTTGTTCCTACAAGTATTTTTGCTGGGCAAAAACATGGAAAACATGAGGCAGTTTACAAAATTCATCATTTTGAACATTTTTGATACAATATATTCTCATATAGTCAATTACTTTCCTATCTATGCATGCAAGTTTTATTGGGTGTTTTTTGTGAGCAAATTATATTTGTATTTTATTCCTGCAAGTGGCATTTAGGATTCTTCAAGAAGAATTATCTTCCAGAGAACCGTGGCTTTGACACCCATTTTGGATATTACTTAGGGAAGGGGGACTACTTTGACCACTACAGTGATGATGGGGTAAGAAGTATTCTATTTGCAGAAAAAATAACTGATTGTAAACAAAGCTATTAAACTACAGCTTAATTTTTTTTATTCCTGTTCTGTATGCAGGGGTTTATGGGATTGGACCTCCATGAAAATGGGAAGCCAGTTTGGAACCAGAGTGAAGTCTACTCTACTGACTTGTTCACAGAGAGGGCAACATCGATAATTTTGTCTCATGATCAAGCAAAAGTAAACTTGTTTTTTAATCAAAGAAGAAATCTTTTTACGTGTTTGCGTGTCTTTTGTAAAATGTGGATGGGGGAGGTGGAAAACTTTGTCTCATGATCAAGCAAAAGTAAACTTGTTTTTTAATCAAAGAAGAAATCTTTTTAAAGTGTTTGTATGTCTTTTGTAGAATGGGGATGGGGGAGGTGGAAAAATTTAGTGCCTACTTTTGAATACAATTGTTTTTATTTTCACAGCCATTGTTTTTATTTTCACAGCCATTGTTTTTATTTTCACAACCATTGTTTTTATTTTCACAGCCATTGTTTTTATTTTCACAGCCATTGTTTTTATATTTGGCATATCAATCTGTCCACGCTGGTAATGAAGGAGACTTGATTCAGGCCCCACAGAAGTATATCAACAGATTCCCTCAGATAAAAAATATTAAGAGAAAAATGTTTGCAGGTGATTAAAAACAAATTCTATTTTGAAAGTTAAGTAAGTTTTACTTTATTTACATTGTTATATTTAATACGAGAAAAATGGCCCGTTGAGGAAGGATACAACGGGCGCTAGGCTGATAGTGCTGTCTCTTTTCTCTAAACTAAAACCCCCCCACCCCCCCCCCCCCCCCACATACACACACCCACCCACCCCCCCACACACCCCCACACCCCCCCCACCCACCCCCCCTCCCCCCACCCCCCAAAAAACATGTCTACCGTCCCATTCAACGAAATATAATTATATACTTTTTCCAGTGTCTGCCCCCTCCCCTAAAATTCTACCCCCGCCCCCGAAAATTTCAAGTACCCCCACCCCTCTCCGGGGTGGAAAAAGTCTGAAAGAAACACTGGTGTCGCGCTTAGCCACTACCCGAAGAATTGCATTAAAGAAATTGCAAGAAAACCACTTTTTAGATTAGACACATTAATTAGGCGGTAATTTTATTATAGAGTATCGATGAAGAAATTTCTTTTGAGTTGGGGGGGGGGGGGGGGGGGGCTCAGACATTCTTACGCGGGGGTGGGGCTTCGCCCCTACCCGAAGAATTGTATGCAAGAAACTCTTCACGCAAACCATTTAGATTAGACAAAATTTCCTTTTTATTCAATGTTTACTCGAGAATCAATGACGTCATATTACTGTGTGCACTCTCCAGCTTGAGATTATTTTCTACTCTGTGCTAAATGTGGCGACGTCATACTTCGTTTTTCGTTTCACTGTGAAGGTTTTTAATTTGCTTGTGTTTTCTCTAGAGCGTTCTTGTCAGATAGATAGATACACAGACAGCGAAACCATTAGTATTAATATAACTACCAAAGAAAGCTATTAGTTTATTTAATCAAATATGGTATGGTTATTTATATTTTTTTTGTCATGTTTAAACTATTAATTTAACCAGAAATATTACCATTTTCATTTATTTGTATTTTTATAACATTAGGAATTCAATAGATATATTTTATCTTTTATTTAACTTGTTGAAATGTCTTATATTATTTAGTTTCCACCTTGTACTTGTTTTAGGTGTAGTTTCTGCTTTAGATGACTCCATAGGACAGATAATGGATGCTCTGGCCAGTTCTGGAATGGCCAGCAATACTGTATTGGTCTTTAGCACTGACAATGGTGGACCTGCCAATGGCTATGATGGGAATGCTGCGTGTAACTGGCCACTTAGGTTGGTTAAATTTTAGTCAAAGAGGAAACTTTTGCTAGTTCTTTGCTAATTTATTTAAAGAAAATGAGTTTGTGAATAGAGATAAATCATCTGCCTGTTCTGGCAAGATTTGAGCAAAACCTTTACACGCTGTTCATGTAAGATTTAAAATAAACCATTGCTGGTTTTCAAGTAAAAGCTTAAAAGGAAAAACTTTGCTGGCTATTCAAGTAAGTTCATTTAATAAAAATTACTCTATGCTAAAGAGTAAACTTTGTTAAGTACTTATTTGGCTGCTAGCCTGAAGGTCTTGAGTTTGGATCTCAGAACTACAAGGCACCTCAGTCCACTTGACTCGCATTTGGGAAAGTAAAGGTGGCTGGGCATAGTACTGAAAACACCATTTCTTCATATGCTGAGGTCAGGAGGTCTAGAAACATATGCTCTTCTTCATTTGTCCTATGGATCATTAAGTATGAAAGGGGAGATTCAATTTTTAATTTAAACCACATTCTTAACTTGGGCAGCCAATCAACAGCTCTGGCATGTGTATTAAATGTTTCTATAAATTTTTCTAGAACTGTATTTCCAATAATATATATAAATTCATTATTCCTCTATTTACAGGGGAACAAAAAATACACTGTGGCAGGGTGGTGTGAGAGGTGTCGGACTAGTTCACAGCCCATTGTTAAAAAAGAAAGGCTACGTCAATGAAAACCTCATGCATATTGTAGACTGGTTGCCAACCATCATGAGCATTACTACAGGCAACACATCTTCTCTCGATAACATTGACGGAATCAACCAATGGGAAGTGATTTCAGAAAATGCAACCACATCACGCAAGGAGGTCCTGCTAAATATTGACCCAATCAACAAAAACGAAGGGATTATTGTTGGAGATTTCAAAGTTATATTTGGTGATATTTCTGATGGGAAAAATGATGGGTGGTATCCACCTTCACAAGATGCGCAAGATTTTTTTTACTTTTCTGAGTTCAACTTTACAGATATTCCCAGCTCAGTTTCTTTCATTCCTCAGCGTAAAGCTGATTTTACTAATATAGAAGATTTAATTACTTCATTAAACACTGAGTATGAGCTCCTACAAAATAAAAAGCATGGATTAATATCAACTCTAAATTTTAAGTCTAATAGTGATGTTAACTTACAGTCAAGTCAACCACATATTCATCAGAAACTTAAGACAGATGATATCAATGTTGTAAGTCAGCACATTAACATTGCAGACAATAATAACCCTGCTAGTCACCAGATTAACTGTGGGGTTAAACCAGAAAATGCCTCAGTGAATTGCCAGCCTGAGAAGGCACCTTGTCTGTACCACCTGAGGGATGATCCTTGTGAGTACCACAACCTTGCCCCCACCTTCCCTGGTATTGTGAAACAGTTGATGTTGAGACTGGAGGTGTACAGGAGGACCATGATCCCCCCTGCAAATAAACCTATAGATCCTAATGGTAACCCCCAGCTCCACGGGGGAGTCTGGACACCCTGGTTGTAGGACTTTAAAACTTGACATTTGGATTAGCACTTTCATTATTTTGGAACTTTGAAACTTTGTGTTTTACTACTTTGGCCAGTTATTTTAGTACTGAGATTATTTAGGTTTTAATGCTTGGTTAATTAATAAAATTAATGGAATAAAAGGCTGTATGTAGTAGCACTATAATGGAATTGTTTGCTGAGGATTTGATTCTAATTCAATTTATATCAAACAATGTATAATACTAGTTTTATTTATACCACATGATAACTATATATAGTGATGGGACTGGTGTTAGTGTTTGTTCACATCCAAATTAAAACACCATGTGAATGTCACTTTAGGCAGGTACCTATGAACTGTTTATAACAGTAATTACTTATATTCAAATTGCTAGTGTTTGTTGTCATGTGAGTTTAATAAAGATGTGAGAGTTTGAGAGTATGTGTGTAGTGGGATTAATAAAAGATTCTGAATGCTGACAAAGTAAATAAAGATGTGAATTAGGAGAGTATGGGCTGGTTGTTAGGAAAGTAGTTGAAGTCAGTCTGAGTGTTGTTGTCGCGTTAGGTTGTAGAATTCATCGTCCTGTCTGTCGTTAATGTAGCCGTGTGTATTGTACATAATAAAATATGGAAATATATCAACGCCGTCCTGTCTCATTTCTCTATTGGATCGTTGTGCATTGTTCGTCAACTTCCAGCATCGACCCTGTCCAAGTACTCACATCATAACAGTGTTCTAATGGACTCTACCAAGAATAGGCTTGAAATTATTTGAAAAGTTCATTTAAGTAAGATGCTATTTATTAAATATATGTTTTTAAAAATCTGTTTGGTTTTTGTTGGCCTTACTAAAGATTGGATGTATTTTATGTTTTTTATATTTTTGGTAACTTAACAAAAATTTAAAAAAAAAAGCCAAAAACAATTCGTTTCCATTTATACTTTATCGTATACAAAGTATAGAGAAAGTATTGTAATTGTGCAAAAAATCTAAACACAGATTTTCACAAATCTCAAACTTTTCCTCTGAGTAGGAAAAACAGTTTTGCAATTTTGTCTGTGTGTATGTATGTCTGTGAACACAATAACTTAAGTACTGTAACAGCTAGGTTAGTGAAATTTCATATATAGATCTAAGTATTAAATGAAATTTGTAGTTCTGTATCAACTTTTCAGCAATGCCCATTAACCGGAAGTGGAACTTATTCTACTTCTAGATTTTCAAAAGCCAATAACTTGAGTACTCTTTCAGATAGATCAACTAAAGATCTAAATCTCTGCCTTCAAATTTTGAGTAATTTCTGTTGACAGGAAGTAGATCTAGTACTTTAAGCCATTTCAAATTTCTAAAAAAAAACCTCATCAATTTATGAAGTACTAATATTTTGCACTATTATACATACATTGTTTGCTGTTCATTGATGCACAATTCTTTGTTCTACCATTCTATTCTATTTTTAAAAGTTTAAGCAACAAAAAAAATGGTTTAAAAATCATGTCTACATCCCGAGTTGACATCCCCTGTAGTCTGACTTATATAAGAATATCCCAGAAAGTTTAGGGGAGATCATGGTATATTTAGTATTTAGGCCATGTTCTTTAACAATTAAAAATTTCATTAGCAAAGTTTTAACTTCAAATTACTAGAAAGTGAGGTTTTAAGAAGACTGATCAAAGTTTCTATACAGCCAAATAAAGCTTAGCTTATGAAAGTGAAACTTCAGGTTATAGTTAAGGCTTGATGAAAATAAGTAGCAATGTAGCTATTTATTTTCAAGTTCTCTACATAAGCAACTAGCATATTACTGATACAAGCTTTGTTTCAATTTTTTTTTAACAAAAACATTTTTTTTTATCCATGTCAACATGAACATGGAAGGATTCTCGTCAACTCGACTGCCCTTTTTTTTGCAATATAATAAGCATTTTTTTTTAAATTGAACTTAATAAATTTTTTTGTTTACTTCACTGTTTTTTATAGTATAAAATTAGAAAGGCAAGGTAATAAGTAAAATTTCTAGAAGAATTAGTAGTTGTCTTGAGCATAACTAATATAGACTGATGCTCAACAGACTATAAAGAAGTTTAAAAACTGAAATCATAAGTGGGCCTATAAAATTCAATGTGACCTTGAGAAAGCCTTCATAAAGACCAGTGCTATACTACTTCAAAAATATTATACCAGTTGGTCCTATTTAATTAATTTTTGGATTAGTTGCAGGGCTACAAATGACAATGTACTGTATCATGGTTAAGAATCACAACATACTATATTACCATTACAATTACTTAACAGCATTGTAATGTTTTAATAAGCTATGAAATAAAAAACAAAACTCTGTAGCAGATGTTTTAAAAATCATGTTTACACATTGTACATAATTACATTTCTATTTACAGTCTAACAAAAACACTGTTACAGGGGTGACATACTTTTATACAACATCCATCAAAGTCACATGACATTTGATATGGTGCCAACTCCTCACACAATATCTCAATAGAAATGGTCACACAAAGAACATCCACAAATTAAGATGCCAATGAGCAAAGTCATTTGCATTTGCAACACAGAAGGTAAGGAATATTCATCTTTAGGCATAACTTAAGTTAGTTTTCTTAAAGCTGGTATTTTTACTTCCTTAACCAACAGTGGGAAACTGCAATTAAATTTTTAAAATTTTTTTTATTAATATTTAGGAATTGAAAACAGACCTTGTAGTTTCTTAATCAGACTTTAGAAACGAGACATGCTAAATAGCCATTATCCCAATTCTACAGTTTACTGATATACTCATTTTAATAGAATTGTTGGTTAGCAATTAAATAATTATTACTAACAAAAAAAACTAAAAATTGCAACACAACCATAGTTGTCCATGCGTAAAAATAGATTTTCATACTAGATTAGCAGGAAACTTTTTTTTTCATTTTCTACATTTATTTAAACGACAATTTTCTGAAATTACGAGCAAGAGAGAGTTTGTTTAAAAAGTGTAAAAAATGTGTAATAAAAATGTAACATACAGAGATATATGCTGTTATTACATATTAGCAGATTATTAAATTAGCCTCTTTGCTTTATAAAACAAACACATTTTCTTCTAATTTTAAAATATAAAATCCTGAAATTGTATGGGGTAAAAACCAGAAAAGTTATGTTAGTGGGATCAGCTCTGATAAAAATCAAATAAAATTGTGGATATAAATTGTATCTTTAAAACTAACTCCAGAACTTCAAAACATTAGGTTATAAAATCAACAGAACAAATACATTTAAAAAGTTTTAAAAAGCTGTGATCAGTTAAACATTCATCTTCTCAAGTTGCTTTGTTCAATGCAGCACCTAAACTGCATTATGGACTGACATGAATAAAAACAGCTTGTGGTTCTAAACTAGAACAAAATGCTAGGATTACACTGGCACAATACTGTATACAACACTCTAGCATTTCACCACTCAAGTTAACCATAACATGGTATAAAAGTGTGTTCAAGCCAATGGTTCTCAATGCTCTGCTTAATAAGTAAACAAGCTACAGACAAGTTATTATTCAGCAGCCACTGACTTGACACTTAACTGAGATGATGAAAACACTGGCATGGGTAAGAATATAAACTAATTTTTTACACTGGCAGTAGAAACAATGACAGTGTAGCCACATATGGAATTCACACAGTCATCTAAATTAAATTATACACCTTTCATGATAAAATGTTCCAACATTTCTCAACTTTCTAAACATGTTGAAAACATTCTCAGTCATGGATCTATTAGTGGAACACTATCAAATGTTTACAATGAGCAGCATTCAACAAGTATTTTTGGGGGAAGGGCAAGGAAGTCAAAGCTACTAATGGGATATAAACAAAATAAAATAAGTCTGCCCTATTACATTTTCTTATACAACCAATGGGGTAAAGCTCAACAGAAATTTTTTTTTCAAACAAATGTACAATATTCTACAATGACAATTCTTGCAAGGTACAACCAAAGATCAACACACCAACAAGTTGTTTGAATAAAAGCATTTAGTTACATCAATAGTATAAAAACATAATGAATGCAAGCACAAATAATGAGGTAGTTTTATCCATTTTTTTGTTGTTTTTTTTTAGTTGCAGATGTTTGCATAACAACATCACTCACTATTTGGTTTCAATAACACTATTTGCTTTTAACTACAAAATAGGATTGAAGCTCATCACTGATTGTACATAAAAAGGGGAGGGTCTTAGTTAAGATATAGAAAACTCAGCTTTTTATATTAATGTAAAAAAAGATTTCAAATAAAATTATTTCATGAGCACACCATCAATGAAATGGCAATCAGCAAATTCAACAACAGGCACACAAGCACACTGAAGGAAGGAGATAGGGCTAGCTTTAGCAAAAAGACATAATTACACCAACTACTCATTCATTATATTCTGTACAATACATAGCAGTCCCTATTATTACTAAAAATTATTCAAACAGGTTTTTATGTGTTAAAATATTGATCCTTAATGACATAATTTAAACACATCATGCATTCTTTGCTTATAATTTAAAAAGACTACTTTTTCCTCCAGGTTAATAATTGAATACATTACAAATCTAATAATGATAGGAAATTAATAACTAGTTACAAATTAATAAATCACATTACAGATACATAGCATGTATTGTTTACAATAAAACTTAAGCAAAATGTTTTTTTTGTTTCACTTTAAACTATTAGACATTTATATTAATAGTTAATTAAGAGGTGCATTTGTTAGCGTTTTTTTTTAAATATAATCCAAGACCAACATGAAACAATCCTGAGATAAAAATTCTCAAGACCCTGAGATGATCAACTCTTCTTGCTGTCAGCTAGATCATTACTTTTCAGCAAAGACAAGCAACTGCTCTTGCCATCAACTGGACATAACTTCCTAATGATGACTAGCATTACATTTACACCACAACTAAAATAAAGAAAATTGCTGCTGAAGTAAAAGAAAGGCCTCCAGTGGAATTACCTTTGTTGCATTAAATTAGATATTCCTACACTAATTGATTCCTTGGTGCTTCATAGATGAAATGTTAGTTGCCAAACAATCTTGGCTAAAAGGAAATTTTAAAACCTTAAAAGTGCATTGATAACTGTTTTTTTACACATTGGTTATAGAACAAAATAAATCGGTCGAATTTCCTAACTACTGTACATGAAAAAATATTTTATTTGAAAAAGTTGATCAGACGACTGAATGGAAGAAATTTCTATCTTGATTGTGTGTAGCAACAAGTCAGAAAACAACAGGTTAGCATGAGACAATGCTTTAGTAAATCAACAAAGTTCCAAAATTATCAACAGCAAGTGATCATGTCATTTTTTGCATCAACTGTTTTCATAGTTTCAACAATGAAGAGGTCATGTTTGTTTCTAGCCTTGTCCCAAAATAGACTGTCAATGACAAGCTCTATTTTAATAAGTAAAAAAAAAAACCACTATCTTCTCCATAGATGAAAAAGAGTTCCTTCAGAAAAGTTCAACACCTCTATAACTTGATTGCTTGAAAGGAAGATTCTCCTCACCACCATCAAGTGGATGATGGCACATTTAATCATACCAATCTACATGAGTATGCTCCACCCTCAACAAGAATTATAATTCGGGGCTGTGGATGCCTGAGTGTCTCTTCCACTGCCAACATCAATAATTGCAGTGTTAGGCACGTTTGTAGAAGTGTTTATGTGTTGGAGCAGAGGGGTGAGGAGGGGTGTGGTAGAATGGTCTACAGGTAACCCTGTGCTGCCTGAATTGACAGTACGTGACAGGTGGCAGATGCGTTCATGCACACATCCTGCTGACAGTCTGGCTTCAGCATCCTGATCCCAGCATTCTTCTACTGTAGAAATGAGACTGTACAGGCCCTGGAGGGAGAAAAATTAGGCATATTGTATAGAGAACTAAAAAAAAAGAACAATAATAATCATCAGAAACTTTCATAACTATACTTACCGGATGCTTCTGCCAAATTGGATTAAGAGCCGGTCTTTCTTTACGAGTCACTACCAAAGTTTGCATTTCCTCTAATGTTGGTTGTAGACCTACTTCTGCTTCAAAGGGTAGTCGATAGTCATCAACGGGACCTTAAAATTAAATATTTTTACTGAAGTAAGGGGTGTAAAATGCATATTGCGAGCAAAACAAAAGTTGTTCAATGTGTTGGAGCCTACTGAAAAAACTCAGTAAGTTATATAACTAAAATGTATTCAGAAGGATAGAGAAATAAAGAGAAAAGACAGGCACATAAGCACTTTGAATTTCTTTCTCCGAGCTGTTTTCAATTAAATAAATCCAGATGTATTTATTTTTAAAAATCAATGTAACAAATTTTTTTAACACTACGTATAAATGTAAGGCCATATTAAAATCAGTAACTATGCACTTGATTCTTACCATCAGCTGAGGAACACCTTGTCATAAGCTCCCATATAATTAGTCCACATGCATACATATCAATGCGAAGAAATGAGTCACGGTTGAAACAAATCGCCCCTTCTAAGACTTCAGGTGCCATATAACGTCTAGTACCCACCTAAAACAAACAAGAAACATATATAATACACAACAAATGTATTCTTTAAGTACAAAACTCTTTTTATTCACCATCCTACCTCTTATATGCTACAAATAATGTAATAACTAGCCACTACACCCAACCAGTTGTTGAATCATCAATATTAACAATTGTGAAGCTTGATATTTTTGTTGGCACAAAGAATGTAACTTTCTTTAGTATAACAAATTCACCCAACCGTTAAAATTGGCAATATAATTTTGCAAAAAATAAGTATAGAGAAAATTATTGGCATGGGTTTTCTAACTGGGTATACCATCAACATAACTACATATAGAAAAAGATTAAATGTCACTCAGATCCTGCACAATGTGCATGACCATTAGGATACAAGACAGAATTAGACATCTAAATGTCTAACCTGCTATGACAGAGTTTTATGGGGATTTTTTTTAAAGTGTTAACATGATTAGTAAGGTCCTAGAAGTAATTTTTTAAATCGTTTTTCAGTACCTGTGGATGGGTTTCATTGAATCCTTTCCCTGGTTCAAATTTTAGAGCCAACCCAAAATCAGCTATACAAGCTGTGAGGTCTTGTTTCAGTAGAACATTCTTGCTCTTGAAATCTCTATGAGCAACAGCTGGTTTAGAATGCATGTGATTTAGAGATGGGATTTCATCATGCAGGTATGCTAAACCACGAGTCATGGTGTAACCAATGTGACATAGCTGTGCCCATGTTATTGTGTTTCCTTTCAAGAAATCACAAAGAGAGCCTGCAAAGTAAAGCAAAAGGGGAATAGTTAAATGTTTTGGTGCATTTAATACTATTATAACCTATGTAAACATTAAGCAGAAACAATAACTGTAATGATTATTTTTTTTATATTGGTTGGCCAAATACAAAAAACTTTAGTGATTTATGACACACTGTTTTTATAATTAAGAACCATTTTTATGTGAAACAAAGATGGAGATAAATTTAGAATTTACCTTTTTCATGGAACTCTGTAATGAGCCATAATTCAGTAGTTAAGTTATCTTCCTTCCTTTCTGAAGCAATAAATCGAAGGATATTTTCATGCTTCATTTGTGGAAGATTGTATATGTCCAACTCAGCCATCCATGACTGCTTGTCTTGAAGAGGAAAAATCTTGACAGCCACATATCTAAGGAAAAAGAGGTCAGTCATTTTAAACATTTTGTTTCTTATAGCACAACAGTTGAGCTTATCAAGTAATGTACAAGGTAAATATTTTAAACCATTTTAAATGTAGTATTGGCTTTCTTAAGAATATTGTCTGTTCGAGTGACTGTTGAACAGTAGGTTGATTAAATTTTGTGCACTAAATTTTTCTTAACACAAGAACTTACTGATCTGGTAGCTGAGCTTTCCAAACAGAACCGTAGCGGCCCCTTGCTTTAAGTTCCAGCAACTGCAGGTTAAGAGACGACTGAGAAGGTGTTGGAACTAAACTGGGATCCACAGTCGGCAACTGAGTGTGGCCCATATGACGCTGATGCCGGCGCCACATAAAGAATAGTGTAACAACTAATATAACGAATCCTACTATAGGTACAATTGAGTAAAGAACTGTTCTGATCAGCTGCTGTTCTCCCGCTCGTCTTAAAATCTCAGGCCCTGGTACCCCGGTGTCACTATTTGAAGTTATTTCAATTGGTCGATGGTAAAATTTTTCATTACATAAGTCACCATCACAGCAACAGAAAAAAACCGGTGCAATATCTTTATACTCAACACATTCTTTTTGGTTGTAACACCTAAAGAAGAAAGTAATCTGTTTTGAAAAGCAAGTTGGTACATTTACACATGATATTTAACTGGTACAGGGGTGCCACTCATTTTTTAAGTGAATCCTGAAAATCAATCCCAAAATTTTACCAATCCTGAAACTAAAATGTGAAATTTTTAAAACCTTGAAACTTAATTTCGAACTTTAAAATAAAATGGACAATTATTTCATTACTAGGCATGCTGCCCAGCTTCGCTTAGGCTTTCGAAAACATTGAGAATTTGAATGCTTAATTAATTCGCCCGAGGGTCGGTCTACGACCTCAAGAGTTATGAAGAGGTTCCTCCGTGGACATTTTTTTTCGATTTATGGCTCATATAAGGTACCGGTCAGTCGAGGTCAGTTTTGACCCCCTCATCGTAGACTTTTCGGCCAACCGGCCCCCGTGTTATGTCGCCCCAAGGCAAGATCCTGCCAAATTTGAAGCGCCTGCGGCGCCGGGAAGTGCCTTATCGGACACCCGACAATTTAGATCTAGAATCCTAATTGAATTTTTTTTTTAAGTTTAGTCCGAGCAAAATAAAAAAAAAATACATTAACCAAGTTGACTTGGTGGGTCTCGAACCCGCACCACCTGCGTGGTTTTATAGTACACTAACATCTCCGCTATTTAGGCACCTTATAAAATACAGAGAATGAAAGACGTATTTTAAAATCTTAACTTACGCGAATATGCCTATTCTTTCAAATTAATTTTTTTATCCCAAATTAGCCAGTTCCAAACAAAGATTTTGTATAAATAAATGTTATGAGTTTAGGCCGGAAAAATTGTATTGTATACATTTCATAGTGTACATAGATCTAAATCAAATTTGAATGAAATAGTTCATTTCTTTTTTATTTTAAACACGGCAGATGACGTCATTAGTAAGCAATAGTGTCGTCACAGTTTTATGCGTTCTTTTACACATCTATTAATGCTTTTCCGGTTGCATAAATAATACTGTTTCTCTATATTCGAATACGCCTTGATTTTTTATTTTTCTTCTTTAAATAAAATTGTGGTTATACATTTAAAACATCTAACATATTATTTTCAACAAAAGTCCGTATAAAGTTCTCCATATATCGCTGCCGTTTCTGACGTGATGTCCGGCGAAAATTTTTTGCGGACAGAGAGAGAGAGAGAGAGAGAGATGTGCGAACGTAGCCCATTATAGTATTAGATTTTTATTCACATCATGTTCACTATAGGCCTACATTCCTTTAAAATGGTTATTATCTTTGTAACAACCTTCAAATGAAAATTAATATTTAAATGATTGTGCATACAACCAAATAAGTTTACAATCTTAGGTCCATCTCTAGCCCTACCCACAGGGTTCGTACTACTTTTTCAAAATGAAATTCCAGACTTTTCCCAGACATTTTCCAGACTTTTTTGGAAAAATTCCAGACTTTATACAGATAATGTGTTCGCGAATAATTTATAAAATGATGCACCATTTGTACTCTCATAATTACTTGTACTAAATTGACATTTATTTTAGGCAGTTGAGATATAATTATATTGAACTTTCTCTAGCCAAATTGACAGAAAATCACTTTTCTAAGTTTGCCTACTCAACTCCACCTAAAGTTTTAACAATTAAAATAATTGATTAAAATGATGCAGCTATTTTGTTTTAAACATTAGACTTATTAATCTGTTCATGATCAAAATGCTTATGTTTTCAATTAAACTATTATTAAAATGGTATTGCATAATAGTGAGAGTTAATTACTTTAAAGAATACTAACGTAATGTATTAATTTAGGTCTGCTCTTGTTAAGTAGCCTAATATAGGCTACTTGTAAAGAAAAAATTGGAGCAAAAAAAAAAAAAAAAACATTCTGCAGGCTGTAACCACATCACTCACTGTTTATGCTTATACACTTATACTACTTATAGCTGAGGAACGGGTCTGCAATAAAAAAAAATTGCCGGTATCCTCCTCCCCCCTTCCCCCCACAACCACAAGACACGGTGAAGGGGTCATTGTGAGGTCATAGTAGTCTAGGCTTCAGTATGCCTGTTTAATACGTCATAACATGAACTGAGATGTGACTTATACCCCCCACCCTCCTTACCAAGCAGTACCAACTACAAACTTGGGGTCACGGTGAGTTCACACAAGTGACCGTAGTTACAAGGAGGGGCGGGGTAGTCTAGCTTTAATCGTCAGCATTGAAATCTATGCTTGTGTTTTAAAAACCATCCCAGCGTGTAAACAAAACACTGTATTTATATCACCCTAACATTATTGCAAGAGCATGTTGTCACACTTTATAAAACCCTCCTCCCGACTTTTCTGAGTGTGACGTCATTTATGGACGACTCCTAAATAAAATTAGTACGTCTTTGGTAAGCGACAGCTGAAGCAAACAGAAATACGGGTATGAACCCAAGGAGGCCTCGCGACTTATTAATCTTATAAATGTTAATATTAACCCAAAGTAAGTGAACGCGTGTGGAAGGTGGGGGGGGGGGGAGGGGGGGGTTAAAATCCGAAAAATTTGTGGATGTCATAAACGGATGACCCTCAGAGACAAATACATTATATCTAAACTACCATTCATACACCTCCCACATCATTTTTTTGTTATGACTGTCTGCGTGCAAACTTAAAAAATGAAAAATAGCGGGTAAAATCGAGAGCCTAACAATTCTGAAGGCGATCATTCTTTCATTAAATTTAATTTTAAATACTTGTAACACATTCACACGGTCAGTCGCAACACAAAATATCTCTTCCCTCCCTTCCCCTCCTCTTCCAATGACGTAGCAACTGAGCATCCGTTTTTTTTTCTGCGAACCAGCGAAAAAAGTCACAACAGTGTAAACCCGCGCAAAAGCGCGGGGAAAAAATTGGAGTAATTTCACCTAAAAATAGCAATTTTTTAACTTGGAAAATATGGACTTCGAAGTTTTGTTTCTAAAACTGGATTCCAGACTTTTTCCAGACTTTTAAAAAATCCAGCCCAAAAACTAGCGATTTTCCAGACTTTTTTAAGTCTTAAATTCACTTTTCTAAATTCAAGACTTTTTCCAGACTTTCCAGACAGCGTACGAACCCTGTACCCAAGAATGTTAATGATAATCTAGACCCCCCCCCCCACATGCACATAAAACACAATATAAAACAATGGCTTATGTTACTAATACTTTGTTTTATAGTGTAAGTAGTCACACTTTTCTTCTACTGTATTACAGAAATGTATAGAAATATCTTCAAAATTTGGCAGTAGGTCTGAACTATAACCCTGGACTAAATCATAGCAGGCTATCCTATTTTGTTTAGTTAATTGCATAACATTAATAGTTTCAGATCTAAAGCCAACAGTACACTATAATGTGAGGTCACGGTAAGTTAGGATAAACCTACAAGAGTAATCTACGGTCACAGTGACCAAAATGTCCAGGTGATGTAGGGTAGACAAAGGCGACATAGTGATTGTGATAATCCTAGGTTTACACAGCAGTTGATATTGTGCCATTTACATGTGTGTGAAAGGCAGAAAGGACCATAAGCGGGAGTCATGATGATAATTTCTAGAATGCCAAAACTTTCAAGCTTGAAACAATTTTAATTTTTTTCCAACTGCAAACATGGAAATTTTAAAACACAAATCTTGCAAATCCAGAAAGGGATAAACAATATTATTCTCAAATTCAGAAATCCGGCATATCCCAGAAAAGTGGCAACCCTGCTAATATCTAATATAAGTGGAACTGAAAAATCTTTAAAATATAACAAATGCTTTTTAGTTACTTTTCATCATTCATCCAGCAGCCCTTTTTAATTGGTATTACTTCCGCAGAAGTGTTGACTGGCAGCCATGAAGCAAAGCAAAGCATGTAGTTATATGGATCATCTACTGAAGCCTTGTTGCTGGCTGTAGTATTGGCACATTCCTCTATTGTTGGTGTACAGGGACCAGTGCCTGCCAGACACTGCTCACGATCATATTTTTCACATTTGGTAGTTCCTTTATGGAATTTTGAAGCTAAAAATAAAAAATCATTATCAGATTAAAATTTTGTGTGCTAAACATTTTAATCAACTTGTTCTGTTTTAAAAATTAGCTGTGCTTATTTCTATTCCATAATGACCTATCTATAGCCTATTCCTTTTAACAATTTTTAATTCATTTCATGAAATCAACGGGGTATTATAAAATAATGTTTTAAATAAATAAAATAGGGCGATAATAAATAATAATAATATGCATAAATTGATTATTATGCATCATAAAAAAACAGCTTGAAATCTCATATTAAGAAGAAGCACTTACAACAATATGGTGAGATGCCAAGAAGAATTACTAATGACAGCAACATCCAGTTACAGTTTACAAAGTAGGAATTGACAAACAACATCTTGTATTAGCAAATACAAACTACCATTTACTAAAAGGCAGTTTGTTTAGGATAACTTCATCTGAAAAAGAAAAACAAAATAGAAATAGTTTGATAAGAACAAGCTTTAACAATTAAAAGTAAGCTGATCATGCCTTAATTAAAAAGAAAAAGATTTCCAAAAGTAATCATTCAATAAATTACACATAATTCAAAATCCTGACTTAACTATGCCATTTCATAGTTGAGTAGAAAACAGCATACAATACTATACAGTTATAATAATTCTGAGGCACTTTTTTTTATTTCTAATAAAGATTATTAACTATAAGCCAAAGATAGTATATCAGAGATGTAACCGACCTTCTTAGAGAAAAAAGAGGCCTAACTAATGTTTTGTCAGTGAGAGAAGCATCGCCCACCACAAGGCGAGCACAGCACACATGTCCTAGTCCATGCGTCCTTCTTTTACTAATGTAAGCCTAGACCCAATGCTAATATTTAATTTATCAGGAATCTTAAATCTTAATAATGTAAGCATTAGTTAGCCTAATAAAAGTCTATCATTGAAGACCAGTGAAAATAATATAATTAGCCTAATTAAAATTCATGAAATCAATTAGGCGTTTGCAAATTTGAAAGCACAATAAATAATTAGGCCTAAACAGTGTTTTTTAATTTGATAACTGAGTAAATTTTAGATTTAGTGAGAAAAACTATGAGACTCTAAATCAGGCTTCCATTTTTTTTTTTGCTCGATCTGTGTTGGCAGATTGTAAGGTACTCTCTAAATCAGGGGTGGGCAAAGTGCGGCCCGCCTTGAACTGAGATTTGCTTCTTGTCCGCGACAGAAAGTTTGTCTCATTTTTTTCCCATTAGTGCGGCTATGTCAATGTGCAGGCAGTGAAAATATGCATTATTCCATTTGACAGTTTATTTGAGTTTTGTCTATGCATCAGTACAATTTAAAAACTTCCAAAAAAGCGAATAATTGGTGATGAATCCTGTGTGTTTAATGAAGAATGGACACAAATATTTCTCTGGTAGTTTCATGGTAGCCGTAAAACCTTGCAAACGCAACAAGCCTTTTTGGGATGACGAGTTTGTTAAGCACCAAACCTTTTTGGGATGGCGAGTTTGTTAAGCAGTGCATGGTTGAGTGTGCAAGCGTATTGTGTCCTGATGTGAGAAGAAAATTTGAAAATGTTTCATTGTGTTCAATGCAAAACTATTTGCAAGGCAAGCAGGTGAAGGCAAGTTTCGCAGATTCCCTTTATTAAAAGTTTATTAGGGAGGGATGATTCATGATTGAAATCAATTCAATTAGTCAGGCGCGTTGCTTAGATGGCTGGATTGACCTCTGACCCTGAAACGTCACGCGTCGTTTTTAGACGGTTTTTACGTTTATTTTAGGGGTCCCATCCACGACAAATGAAAAAACTGTTAATCTCGCAAATTCTCATCATTATTTTAATGCAGAATGCTAATAAAATGGATAATATGCCTTAGAATGCCAGAAAAAATCGAGAGATTTGTTGTTGTAAATAATGAGAGGATTTCTAGTGGAGCGCTCTCCGTAAAAACTGAACCGCCGCTAAAAACGACCGACCTCCGGGAAAAACGGCCCGACCTCCTCTAAATTAATATATAATTGAGATATTTACCTTGTATATTTACATTATTATTGATTCTGGTTTCCAAAATCTTATCCCAAAATGGGGTACCCACGCTGACATTTCTATCCGCTATTTTTAGTATCATGACGTCATTGCTACGCTAGTTGCCAGACTGAAACAACTAGTTTTTGTTTTTTACGGAATGAACTGTTAAGTCTAGTATTTTAATTATAATTCAATTGTAGCATGTGTGGAAAAAGTAAAATTATGGACATTATTGTTGTATTAGTAATTTTATTAGTATATTGATTTTTTCTTCACTGTGGGCCGACAGTTGCTGCATTTGTGACCGGTGGTTAACCTCGTCAAAGCTGCGTGGCCTATTCGTTTATATAATCAGTGATGCTCGTTCAGTGGCCTTTTTCAGAGCTAGGCCTAATTACGGGCGATTTTTAGACTTAATTGATCGGCCGTTAGCCCTTTTCATTGCTGCGTATTTTTTAAAAAAATGCTCGTTCAGCTGCCTTTTTTTTTTTGGCACTAAATAATCTGTTTACGGGCATTTTAAGCGTTTATTTATTTATTTTTTTAAGCTAGACGTAGATCTAGTTAAATTTTTTTTTATACAGCTGGCTGTCTAGCATGCCTGATATGTGAACTTTAAAAAAAATGACCGAACTTTAAAAAAAAAATGACCAGAAGTAGGGAAGTAGGTCTGTTATTCAATTCGCTTGAAAAAGGGGGGGGGGGAAGAGAGAGAAAAGTGAAGACACCGACCATCTCGTGTACGCGTGTTCATTCTATGACGTGTAGTATAGGTCACGGTGACCCCGCGACCGTGGTGGGATTTTTCATCCACAGGATAGTAAACATAAGCAAGCAATCACGCGAGTGACGATGTTTGGAGATTTTATTTTTAAAAAAAAATCACATACGTCATGTTTTCAAGATGAAAAAAAATGTAATGTAAAAAAAAAGGGGACACTAATACCATGTATGAACCTCAGCTGCCACACTGTTGACTCAATATAATGTGATTGAGTGTAAAATGTATTTGTATTTATAAACTATCTTAGCAATTACTATCATATTATTTTATGCATATTTATTATTTGAAATAAAAATATTTATTATGGTCATTTGATTTATGCAGGTGTTCATTACTTCATAAAATGGTATGAATAACATGTAGAGTAGAATTTAATAAATAATAAAATAACTAGATCTAGTTTTATTATCAACCAGTTGCTTTTTGTTATTTTCCGGTGAGTAAATAACCTAAGCTGACGCAATTACCATGGCGGGAATTAAAAGCTCGTGGACACAAGTCCACGACGTAATGTTATGCCGGTCGAGGGGATAAAACGCGGTTTTGTCTTTCATTTTCCAATATCGGAAAAATTTCAAATTCTCTCTTTTCTCGTCAACCGAGTAAGCTAGATATTTAAATGTGGTGTCAAATGTTCTCTTAAGGGGTAAGGAAGTTAATGGTGTATTTGAAATAACAGAATATTTTATTTTAAAAAATCCATAATTCAACCTAATTCAATTGCATAAGTCAAGATTTAGTCTGACTGGTGAATAATAACGTCTGGTTCCTCTCCTGGATTATCTCACCTATAATATGATTCCTGCCGCCTTTTTCGAATTTTCATGTTAACTAAAGTATACAATCATTTTAAACACAGCGCCCCCTCCGGCTACCACAAAGTGGCCCTCGAGCCAAAACAATTGCCCACCCCTGCTCTAGAACTAGAGAACTACTTGGCTGGAGCCTAAATACGCTTACAAATGTTTTATAGATCTAAAAAGTATTTAGTAAATAGATCTTGATATCTAGATCCATAGATGATCTACATTTATAGACTAGATGTATTGAAATAATTAAAAAAAACAGCAAGCAGGACTAAAAAAACAAAAAAAAAACAAGCAAAATCTCGTACACTTCACTCACAGTCTGCACAAAATTGCATATCGTTTAAGTCAACAAAAGGTATTTAGATCTACTAGTCGGCCAATCCATTATATGAAAAAGCGAAACTGCGATGCAAAAGCTTGGCTTTAGCACCAAATAAGACATCAATATAATTGTTGTTCTATGAAAATGTAAACTGTACAACGTTAACACAATTGTTGATGGTGGAACAATATGGCGTATTATTTTACAGAGGCCCCGGATGTTGTTTTCTGAGATTTAGCAGGCTTTAGAAATTTGATTGGTGGAACATGGTCACACTTCAACTAAAAAATGTAGTCTATTTATTCCTTCAATAAATTATATTTAAAACAAAAACAGTTATTATAAATTGAGTCAAAGAAGCTGAAAATGCTGAATAGGTTTTTATTTTTAATTCATTCGTAGGCTTATCTGTATCATTCATACAAGACATAGATCTAGGCCTTTAACAATAACAGAAACATCCAATAGCAAACGTTTTCAACACCGCGGTGCGAGTCTAGGCTGTTCAATGAACTGCTATTTCGATGACGGTTACGTTAAGGTTTGTTTTAATAAAATATTTCTCTTTGCTGGTAGGCAGGCTTAAAACATTGTAATATGTGTGACTATTTTCAGTGCACACTTCAATATGGTCTTTGTGTTATGGATTTAAACTATTAAAATCAAAATTTAACAATTCTGAAATTGATTACACTAGGAAAATGAAAACACAGTACCCAACTGTGTTATAGTTAAAAATAGTTTCAAGGATACAATCTTTACATTTGATTGGTTGTTTACTTCATCACTTTCTATATTTAGAAAAGTATTGCACCATAAGTTAGCAACGTAGACGACCAGAATACTAGAGGACCAGGAAGGGTGTAACATCAGAGAAGTAAACAGTAAGACTAAAATATTATTGTATTAAAAATATTATTTATGCCTTTATTTCTATTGATCTATGTGTGTCCCCATGTTGTATGCATCATGTTCAGTAACTTTAGACGAGAACCTTTCTTCTACCAATTTTCAATTTTTGTGTTTGTTTCCTGCTTTTTAAACAGAAAGTGTTGGGGTAGGAAAGCCAGCGAAGCCGTGGCGACTAATCTGTCGGAGTTAGAATTTGTTGATCAGCCTTGCCACTTTCACACACTGGATCTAAATAGAGCAGCAGTTTTCAGTGAAATACAGAAAACTAGATCTTATACTGCCACGGCTACCGCAGAGGCGACTACTGGTGTTGACAGAATGATGGAAGCTGACGAAATATTTAGCTTCTATGACGAAGAGGGCGGAATACCACAAACCCTCGACGAGCTAGTTGATTTGCTGGATATCAAAGTGAGTTCTGGAACGGCAGGCTCCTCTGATATCCAGCACTTCCCCACGTTCGCCTCAGAAGACATGTGGCCTATTTGACACAGGTAATCTTTCAGGGACTCATTAAAAATAGTAGAAAAAAATCTAGGCCTACACCAGCCGCATTCACCATTGGTCTATTTTATTACATTATATTATTCATTATCCGTTTTGGTGTAAATGGGTCTATATTTTAGATTTAGAATGTAATAGAAGTAAACTGATGTGTTACACATTATGTGATTATTATGTTTGGTCCAAGTTTATGGATTAGCAATGTGCTATTTTTAGGATTTTTCTTTAGCCCACATTTACTAAAAATAGCAGCTTACAAATACTGTTACACCACCTGCAGCAATGGTTAACCATGTCTTCTTATACAATAATAAATATGCATTGACTGATCTAGATCAACACTTTTTAAATACTCGGGGATAGACATACAATTCCAAAATGCTTTAAGTAGGCCTACATAAAATCTTTAACAAATTTTGCATAGCTAACATTAGTAACAATGGACTTAGTACATAAAAAGGCTGTTTACTCTCAAAGTAATATGTGAAGTTATTAAGTAAAGTCTCTTCTGTCACCAACTTTTTTTCCTTAAATAAAAAGGAACATTGATACCTGTAAAAAAGAAACCAAATTCCATAAAATTATGGTGTAGTATTTTATAGTTCAAAAACTCAGCGTTGTGAGTTCATATTTCTGTTGCTGCAAAGATTTCTTATTGACTGAAATTATTTACTTAGTAAGCCTACTTCAATATTGTTTAACCTGGATTATTAATTATGGATTTGTCTTTGGCATTTTTAAAAGCTGAATTAACTTGAAAAAAATCTAGCACATTGACTTGGATGTATGAAACTAGCTGAATGATGCCAGCTTCAAGTGATACTTTTTCAAAATGAAATACATTTTTTAAAAGACAGGCATTTATGTAATATTTTTTTCTGTCTAGGCATTGCTGGTGGCGTCCTTGATGTCACCAGCTTAAATCTTCCGGCTGACATCGACAGTGGGCTTTTTCTGCAGGATCAGCACATTTCTACACCAAATGCCAATACCCTGTATAGCATTGATGATAATTTAAATCCTGTTATGAAGCTGGAATGCGACCAGCCTTATGACATGGACAACTGGGATCTCTTAGACCCTCTTGCTGACCTTGAAACTGACCCATTGGCTGATGACGGCTTGGATGCATTTGTTAACTTGGATAGATTTTTGATGGAAGTGAGTAAAATATTTTCATATACCATACATTTAAAATGAAACACATTTTGTTATTAATTTTAAAAAGAAAGTTAATGTTTCAGTGAAGTTATTTTAATGAAAGAACAGGGCAATTGTGCTTATTAATATTTAAAAGTTGAATATTTGCATATTCAGGTATGTTATTTATCAACATCCCTCCATATTTAGAAGGGATAAATAACCTAGTTCACTACACTACTGATCTGTTTGTGGGGTTTTTTTTTTCATTTGTTGTTTTTAACTTTGTTAACTTTAAGTAATCCAGTTTTGTTTCTTGACAAGAATATTTGTAAATATTTTAGTCTAAACTTCGGTTAAGAAAATGTTAACTTTTTTTTTTCTTTTATCTCTTAGGACTCTCTGTTTGATGATAACATTCAAGTTACAGCCGATACTGAAAGACCTGTCTTGGAATCAAATGTTTCAATATTGTGCCCTGAAACATTTGATACCACAAATTCTAGCAATGATCCACATTTTAAGATTACTGCCTCAACCAGTAAAACATTACCTGAACAAAAAGAAAAATCTGGTAATAGAAAACGAAAGCTAGGCAGTACTGCAGTTCTCAAAACAAGTATGTTCGAAATTATGGCCCCAGCCAGGAGTGGATCAACATCAGATTCACAGCTAGACCACGACTATTCATCCAAAGTAAAAAAGAAATGTGTAGATAGCACTGTTGAGACTGCAGAAACCCAAGATGCTAGTTTGGTGGTTGAAGGAGACGAACCTGATAAACAATCAGTGAGGAGAATGAAAAATAATGTGGCTTCTAAAAGATCTCGGGAACAACGCAAACAAAAAATAGCAGACATGGACCAAGAAGCAGAAGAGCTAATAGCTGCGAATGAAAAACTTAGGTTGAAAATTAGTGAGCTGGAGAAGCTAGCTCAAGAACTGAAAGCTCAGCTAGTAGCTAAGATGACAGGGAAATAAATTTTTTGGATGCACCCTTTAGGCATTAACCCAGCAAGTACACCGTTCATAACTGTTGTAGTTTCTGTTCACAGTTTGAAGCCAGGCTCTTACTACATCTTTAAGATAGGTCTTGTTGCAATCAACAATTTGTTTAATTTTCCCCAGTTGATTGTTACATTTTAGACCTTATGCCTACTCCTACACAAAACTAGGCGTATCATCCAAAGCTTTTTATAATATTCCACTTGCTGACACTCTGGTAATTGCTCCTTTGCCATTGGCTTATTTATTTTAGTGCAGTTATCCAGCATATTTTGACTGTTAGGTGGCTTAATCAATACATTTTTGTATAATACTGTAAAAAAGGTTCTTGTAAATCATGATTTATAATAACGAACTGTGAAGCCAATGCACTTTATTCTGCTTTTGCAGCCATCTTACATGATTTTCCTATTTGGCATTTTTTACCATTTGATCATTGTGTTTTAAAAATGTGTTAAATGCCGGGAAAGTCATTTCATCTTTCATTTTTGTCACTTTTATAAAAAAAAGTTAATTTAGACTTTATTAAACCAACTTATTTTTTTTTAAATTATTTTTTAAAAGCAGCTTTACGTGAATTTTTAGAAATTGTCTTAAACCTCAAAAGAATTTTCAGGAATTGTTGTAAAAGTTGATTGGTCCTTCCTGCCAGCTGATACAACACTTAATCTAGGCTAACTCGGAATTGAAATTTTGTCATATTAATAAGGGAAGGGCATCTTATTTCAATTTCATACGGCTGCACCGCAAGACTTAGTTTCTCATTAACAGGGGTGCCAATTTTTTAAAATATTTTTTTGCTTGATAGCTGGGATTTCAGCCCCTAACATTTGATGTATCAATGATTATCATTGTAACAGGTTAAAAAAACTTTAATGTTCATGAAATTGAATGTTATTACCCCTTCCCCTCCCTGTTTCTTGTGGTGTGCCATATATCAGATGCTACTGCTCTGTAGTGTATCATTTTTGTTGTATTGATTCAATCATACATCAATTTCACAGGTTTCAAGGCTGTGAAGAAATTTTTTATATAAACAGGATGAAAAAGTTCAGCAAATAAAAAGTTTAAAAATTAAATGCCTTGTGTTTCTGTGATTTATTATTCAGAGCTAAGTTAGCGCTGCTATCTTGAAGATCTTAATGTGTCCTGGCAAGGCATGGTTTTTATGGGTCAACATGGTCGTGTGGTAGAGCTTACAACTGCTAACCTAAAAGTGTTTCCAATCTCAGGCTAGATGCCATAGAAATCACCCAGCTCTGATGGTTGGGTATAGTGTATCTACCTATCCCACCATCATACATGTCACATATACTATGATATACAGTTGAATTCTACTTTGCCCAATGGATTGCCATTTCAAAATGGTAACTTTACTTTTGAAATAAGATAAATGGAGTCAGCTTTTTTTATGATTACTATAGCAAGTGAAATAATTTGCATGAGATTGAAATCCAACAATACTGATCCAAAAAATGAAACAAGGTCATCAAGGTTAACCTTTTTTCTGGGTATACAGCCAGATTCTTAACCTGTAGATTATGTGGCTCATACGATTAGTGTCCACTGCTAGGAGATGACCAGCACCATCTAGCTTGAAAGAAAGTGATATTTTATAGTTACTACATAATAGCTGAAAAAGCATCTTCACTTTGCAGACTCATTTTTCTCTACATTCTATAGTAAATAACCCTATTCAAGTTAAAGGTGCTTAAATTGTAGCTCAATCTGAGGCCAAGTTACAGATCAACAAGGCTTCAGATCCCAATACACATACATGACAAGTCAATGACCAGCTGATGTGGAAATCAAGATTCATAATGTTAGTGAATACCATACATTTGTAAATAATAGATTATTTAAATTCTGCTACAGAAATAACACGAGTATATTCAATAATTTATTGGAGGAGAGGATGATATTGATAAAGGTAGGAATTGATGAATGAAATTATTGGACATTATTTTACATAAATATTTACATCACAAAACCTCAGCACCATCAACATAAATAATTGGAACCTCTACTTGAATTTTAGTCATCAAATAGAATCTGAATAAAAGTCAATTCTAATTCTTTAACAACACCACTGTAAGTAAGTGAACAATAGATGCTTATAACTTTAAAACATGAGTTTTGCTTGTATTTTTACAAACTTTTTTTTTCCACATTTCTCACAATATATATATATATATATATATATATATATATATTACAATTATAGAAAGTTTAAAACAAATTTTAAAAATTTAAATTGTACACAAGACATACACAGACAACAGATTGCTCACATGAAAATTAATTAAGGCCCCAACTTGTAATTACAGGGAAAAGCTAACATCAGCTCTTAAGAGTATTCTGCAGTAAAAAGATAGCACACTACCTCGTATGTACAACTTTTTAAACAAACTGAAATTTTCTTTAAATTTCATTCTCAGTTATTTGTGTCTGCTCAATCATCTTCATGTCTGTGTAAAGTTTGTTCCAGAGATTAAAATGTGCAGCTTACTCAGTGACAGTTGTTTCCAACTTGTATTGTGACGAGCACTGCAGCAGATTAGACTACATGCTATTTATAGTTACACTTTGGTGCAACAAACAATGGTTGTCTGTTAAATACTTTTATCAAATATTGCTCTTAATGCAGAGCCTTTGTTTAGCTAGGTTGATTTTTAAAACAACATTTTTAGACATGCACATAAAATATGAAAATGTTGCCGTGTTTGAATGTTCAAACACATATTTTTATTATAGAGGCTCCAGTTCTTATAAATAATAATGCAATTTAATATACATAAAAGTTTGATATATTGCATAGACAATAAACCCTTTCCAAGGAGTAGCAGTATGGCATCAACACAGTTCAATTTTTAAAATTTAGATCACAAAATAATTCACAGCATAAAATATAAATAAATTATATCTTACAATGATTCTTTAACTTCAAGTAAAAAAATAAACATACAGGGATTTTCAACAACATTAGTGGAAAATTATTTATGAGGTTGGATAATTTTCACCAGGGCAGACTAACTACTACTAGCGACTATTTTCACAAGCTTTCTGATGACAAGGAAACAAGCCAACACCTTATAGTGGTGGTGTGGTGGGATTTTGAGGAAGACAATATCAAACAAGGCGGATCCTTTAAGCTAAGCATTGTCTGGCTGATATGAACCCATTCATTTTAAGCACTGTAGTTGACTAGTAATGCCAATTTAATGTACGTGATGCTATGTTCTATAAATTGTCTGCCAGTGGTCTGATCATCTTATCAGGATCTATGTAGTTAAAATAAACCCCACTAAAACGTAATGCTCAATTACAAGGGTCAACATTTTATTGCACATTGGGCTGACAATGTATTCATGGCTGCTTCTTGAAGTCCAAAATATAATGGATCTTCTTTGATGTCATCCTGCGGATGACAAGAGGTTAAATCAGTCAAGGGAAATAAATAGCATTAACTGGGATAGAAAACATGGAATGATAACAATGTAATGGGACAAAAAAAAAGTTGCAAGATTTTGTATTTATTTTAACTTAATGCAGCTCTAATGGTTTGTTTTTACTTGTTTTTTACATGGGTTATATCTATTCAAATACTCAGTGTTGGAAATAGTGACTGGGTGTATGGTTTTTGCTGATACATAGGTACTGCTCAAAATAAATTCAGTTAGTTCACCCAATTCTGATTCATCTCAAAGCTGTTTTCATAAAACTATGTCAGCATAAATCCTACAGTTACAGCTAAATGCACTAACTAAATTGTCTTTAAACCTGATCTGTTACAATACTACACTAGTATGTTTACTAATGGGGTAGGTGGGAAGAAGGCAATACAGACACATCAGCTCAAAACAATAGTCTGTCCTAGTCTTTATTTTTTGCTGTTTTCAACTCTTTCAGGATTGCTAAGATAGGCTTGTATCAACCGTATTAAACATCAATTTTTTGTTGAAATTTTCCCCATTTAAAATTTGAATTTGTTTTACCTAGAATACGTGTTGTCAAACAAGAGGGTGTATATGCCAGGTTTTTTGGCATTCAATTCTCCAACAACCGTCTGCTTGTGTGAGTCACACTTGCATGGTGCAACAATCTCCTCTGCTTCTGCTACACCCACCTCCTCGTCTGCTCTGTAGTTGACACTAAACACAATGTCCTGGTTGATCCACAAATTAAAAGTATACAAGGGTACATAAAGACAAGTAATTGTTTAAAGTACAGGTAATTTTCAATTGCTTTGAAACAATGAGGGAGAGATGAGAATTTGTTTTAAATTATTCAATCCTGGCTGTAAACTGATCTTCAGCTCAAGTTAGTAAAAATGGAGATTTGATTAGAGCCTAACATTAGTCAGGAAAAGCAATTATAGTGTAACATTTCTCTGTATCTACTATTAGACATGTTAGAATAGTGAACTTAATTCGTTGGCTGATTTTTTTTAAACATAGAGAATTTTTTTTTAATTTTATAGAAACTGTATTTTAAATAGCTCTAATCATATCATACCAAAAACATTCTAACAATTTTTTTTAAATGGAATAATAAGAAAGTGGCTACCTTTGGGTGATGTAAGAAAGTGGCTACCTTTGGGTGATGTAAGAAAGTGGTTACCTTTGATTGATGTAAGAAAGTGGCTACCTTTGGGTGATGTAAGATAAGAAAGTGGCTACCTTTGGGTGGGATGACCTCATTCTGTCTGTTCACTTGGCCAGCCTCCAGTTCATCAGCATACAGGAGCATGCTGCTTGTCATGCTAAATTTGAACAGTAACATGTTTTATTTGGTTTACAACAACATAATTTGATCTGGCAACTTAAAGTTTCATTTGGAAAATTTGACTTGCTGTAACTTAGTTTGATCTGGCAACTTTTAGTAGCTTGGTGTCTCACAGTTCAGATTTTAAGTAGAGGTCAGCTCAGTAAAACTCCAATTAAGCATTATGTACTCTATGCACATTATTCTAATTAGTCACAATGTTCAGTGGAAAACAAAATTAGGTTTACAATATTTTGGTTACATGGTGTCAGAAATAGTCGCACAAATCTGATAAAAAATAATTCTGCACAATTTTTTGTATCAAGCCTAACTTGATACTGGTTAGAAGTACCGCATTAATATTTAGACAAAAATATAACTTAAAAAGGGATAAAAAGAGAAGGGGATACAACAAAACAAAATCAAAAGAATCAAACTTAACAATCACTGAATGAAAAAGTGCAATTATTTTTCCAGTTACTTGTCAATCAAACAAAAAATATTAATTTTAGGTGAGGGTACTAAAAACAAATCATAATTGAAAAGGTGGGTACTAATACAAAATGTTTAGGTAAGGGGAGGGCACTAGCAACAAACTATAATTTAAGGGGGAGGCACTGACACAGAAATTAAAATTTCAGGGGAGGACACTAAGATAAAATGTCACATATCTGGCAACATGGACATACTTTTGAGGAACAGCGGCAGGCAGTTTAGGATGGGTGTACTCGTTGATTGACCTGAGCACTTCCTCCTGGGACACAATCTGAAACATGGCTTCGTCAATGTCATCTTCATTGTCGTTGCCAGTTATCCCTGCAGTGTCCTCATGGTTAATATCATCGTAAATGCTTGGTTCATCCTCAGTGAGGGGGACTTCACTACTCTCAACTGGTCTGTGAAGCAATGGGCAGGGAGATAGCAGGGAAGGATAATTTGGATTTGACAAGCTGCTTTTTTTTTCATTTCAGCCCAAACTTTCTTCAGATTTGCAAAACATGAAAGGACATGTATGGAGCAAGGATGTGAGGTTAAGCTTTTGTTTTGTCTGAAGATGATTAGGTTTTAAAATAATTTAACTCACCTTTGTTTTATCTTTCCTTCATCTGTTTGGTTAGAGCTAGAGCTTATAACTCCTGCAAAAAAAAAAAGTGGCATTTTAGTTGCATGATTTTATTAATAAACGTGTACATTAAAAAAACCACTAACTTAAAAATGGAACTGTTTTATTTCAAATTAGCTACTCAAATGTAAGACAAAGACTTTTTTCTTTAATAGAAAACAAAACATGAGAAATTCAGGTAATAAAGGTGATTAGTCAAATGACTTCATATTGTATGAAATATTCTATTCACAGAGATCAGATCAATTCAATATTATATTGTATAAAACATTCTATTCACAAAGATCAGATTAATTTGACATCGTATTGTATAAAATATTCTATTCACAGAGATCAGATCAATTCGATATTGTATTGTATAAAATATTCTATTCACATAGATCAGATTTATTTGAACTGAGAAACAATTTTCGTAATCAATAAACTAAACAAATTTAATTTATTGTTTTATTGTTCCACTATAAAGAACTTGTGTGACTTTTTTTTACAATATTCATGGCTAAGTCTTCCCATAGTCAGAAAAAGTTTCTGTTTTTTTAATACAACTTTTTTTTAAAGACAAATTACAACATACCTGCCCTGTTTTCCCTAGTTTTATCCTGCTCTTCCTCTTCATCTTCATCACTTTCATTATCTAACATGGATGAAGATAAGAGGCTGCTGCCTAAGTTTTGTTGATGATCAAAGCAGGGCTTACAAACTCTAACTTTTTTACTGTAACAAAGTCATATATAAATGAAATCAGGTCTAACAAATTCAATTTATTTACTGCTACACAAAATTATATGTGGTGTTAACAATAAAAAAGTACAAACTTTTTACTAATAAAACATTTTTTTTTTAAATAAAGATATACCTGCTGTGTGGACTGTCCATCCAAAAGTCGGAACATGACCAACAATAAATTCTACCACACAACCTACAATGATGCTGTAAAAAATAAAATCAATCGTCAGAATCTATAAAGTAAAAAAGAAATTAATACAGAAACAGTGCAGTTGATTGTAATCAAATAGCAGAAGCATGTTACTATTTTAAAAGTTGTTCTGTTTATATATAGGATTTCCAGAATTATGTGCTTTTAATCCCAACAACCCTCTCCCCTACAATAAGTGTATATTTTTAGAATTTCTTCTATTGTATCATTCTCTTTAAAAATACAAGTAGATCCACAGGACTTGATAAATGTTTTATTATGATCAAACTCTGGGTAGCTGAATACTGACATTTGATAGACTTACCACATCCACAGGACTTGATAAATGTTTTATTATGATCAAACTCTGGGTAGCTGAATACTGACATTTGATAGACTTACCACATAAATAAGTGAGAAACAATAATTTAATTCATTAAATAATTAGAACATTGTTTTTTTTCTTAAAACATATGTTTAAATATTGTTTTAAAACACATACTATAATGGAACAGATTAAAAAGTTTGTGGTAATAAGTGGAGATCTGCACAAGACCAGTTATATCATAGTGAGGTAAAAAATAGTAGGCACTGTGGCTTTTTTACTCAGTGACTGTTAGCAACAAAACAAAGAATATTGGAATCCTATTACACATTTTAAAACAACTATTGCTTGAAAAATATTGAAAGTGAATTTACCCTCCTAACAAATATTGAGAACTCTGTTTTGCACAGTGTACAGTTGGAAACTTTGGCGTTGTCCTGCCACTTTTCACCCACTTTCCTTTTCTGTTCAGTGACCAGCTGATCTGTTTTATGCCAGAGACTATCTTTATCTCTGTAACAAAAGAGCACATTTAAATAACACAGGGTATGCCTACACTCTTAATAAACTTAAGGAATTTTTTCGTTCACTATTCTTTTTGTATTTAAAACAACAAAGCATGTTATATATTTTAGATTTCAATGTATCAATTGCTTAAGTTTGGTTTTGTTTTTTATTGGCTGGACATATTTTCACAATCAATCTAACAAAAACTGTGAGCATATGTGGTATTTAAATTGGCTTGTTTTTTTTTTTACTTTAAAATACATTAAAAAAATGTTTTCGTACTAATGTTTAAATAGAATAATGTAATTAAAGTGATAATAAATTACAAAACCTTGTGAGCTTTATAATCTGTTTCTTGATTTGATCATTGTCAGACTGCAGCATCTTGATTTCTGCATCTTTTTCTTTAACATCTTTTTCGTATGCCGTCAGGTCAGATTCTAACTTGGAGCGCTTGCGCTGTTCTTCTTTTAAAACTGTCTGGAGCTTATTCACAACATAAAACAAGGGTTTAATCCAAACAATAACAATTAAAGAAATTATATGTTAACATTGAATTATTTAATTTAACCAGCAGAAGACCCAGATTACTATGGGAAACAGGGCACTACCCCCCCCCCCCCCCCGTCAATTACCCCTGAGACATTCCCCCCGGCATAATTACACCTCTGCTAATTACCCCCCCCCCCCCACCAAGTAGAACATTACCCCCCCCCCCCCCCCCCCCCCACGGACATAGGTTAAAGTCCAGCTAGGGTTAAGGTTAGATTTAGGGTTAGGATTAGTTATGGTCAAGGTTAGGCTTCAACCAATGTCTAGAGTTGGTTTTGGTTTTGTGTTAAGTTTTAGGCTGAGGTGAATGCTAAGGTTTTGGCATTTTTCTTAAGGTTAGGATTAAGGTTATATAAAGGTATATAGCTTGAGTTAGAGTCAGGATTCTAACTTGAGGGAGGGGGGGTAATTGCTCCAGGGGGTAAATACAGGGGGGAAATGTCAAGAGGGGTTTACATGCTCCAGGGGATAAATACAGGGAGGGGATTGTCAAGGGGGGGGGGTAAATGACAGGGAGGGAGGGAAATGTCAGGGGAGGTAATTGACAGGGGGGGGGGGGGTAATGTCCTGTAGCCATTACTAAGTTACCTGCTGCAGATGTCTGTCTAGCTGAGCGCACTCATCTTGTTTGACAGTTAACTGTTTTTGTATGTCTTCTATCTAGTAATACACAGAATAAACATATCACAATTTGCACACTCGTTAAACGGAGTATTGTCTTATTTAATTCAGTACTTAAAGTTATTGGTAAAGCATTTAACAAGTAAATTAAAAACCTGTTCAGAATCTGTTTCCTTAGATTTTTGTAGCGCTTTACATTTAGTCTCAAGCTGTTCAATGATTATTTCTAGATCAGAGATCTGAGTTTTTAATTCTGCTGATGTTAGAGTTTCTGATTGGCTTGCCTGGGGATAGAAATTAGAGAAAAAATATTGTTTGTGATTACTTTAATGAAGATAAAGTCCATAACATTATACGTTGTTTACTTCTTAAAGATATTTACAAAAACCTTGATGACCAGAGTTATGCCATTGGATAACAGTCTAACCACACCCTCAATTTCTGTGGTTTTAGTTTTTTTAAATGAAATTTATGTAATTAATACAACATAATTGCAACAATATAATTATGAACTAATTGAATTAACAAGGCACAGTGCTACATTACACTCCTACCACCTATAACACCCCACCTCCCCCCCCCCCCCCCCCCCCACCCACCAGAAAAAGTAGACTAACCTGCACAAGCTCTGTCTTTAAAATTTGCTCAGAGCTAAGCTGAAACTGCAAGGCTGAAATTTCCTCATTTAAATTTTCATTGTTTAATTTTTCCTTCTCAAGTTCAAGCTGAATTTTCTTTATCTCACTAAATGAAACAATCAAACATTGGGGATAAGAAGTACATGAATTAACTCTCACATGCTTGGTGCTGCAATATCATAAATTGTTCACTATTTTTAATAAGGGGGCTTCAAATTACGAACTTTACTGCAAGTTATCTAATTTTGTAGAAACTACATTAAAATAAAACATATTTGAACATTTTCTCAATTTTTTTCTCAGTTCTTTGCAACCGTAGTTATAGCATAATAGATGGATAATTTTAATTCTCCTTGGCAAAATATAAGAAAGAGAGTCCCAAACAGTTAGTTAATCTGTAATATGATTTATCACTTTTTACCTTTCGAAAATTTCTTTTTGCTGCTCAAACTTTTGCAGTACCTTCACATCTGCTTCCAATTTAACAATATTGCTTTTCAGTTCTGTGTTTTCAGTTGCCAGGAATTCTAATTTTTCTACTCAAAAATAAATTGAAAATAGTTGAATGTTTATTTAATGTATTACAGACTACATTGACAAGTTAAACAACACCTTCAATAAAATAAACACTCATTATTTATCTGAGGTTTTAGTCTGAGAGCATTAGGTAGAAAAGTATTTTGATTTTTGTTTAAATAATGGTGTCTTATTAGAAGGTGAAGTGGGGCAGAGTATGTGATTACAAACTCCTCAACTTGATTTCAAATTGAAATATCATACCCCCTAAATGTAGAACGTAACAGTTTACTGCCCACACAATGTCTTGGTATATTGTGGCCAAAGAGTAAAGTGAACTAATCAATTCTAGACCCAAGAGACAACATTTTTTTTATCTTCTTGGTTGAGAATCCACAAAAATATGTGAATGCTAAAGGTTTTAGTGGAAATATTTAATTTTTTTTCAGAATAATGTCTAGGGAAATCCCCATGAAAAATGTGATTTCAAATCAATACTAAATAAATAAGTCTAGTGAGTTCTCTAAAGGTCACAGCACAATGACCACAAAGTCTCAATGTGTTGAAAGAAGAAGACAATTTTTTGAACAATTTGAATGACATAAAAACTGAAACACAAGGTTTTCAAATTTTTTTTTTTTTGCTTGTAGTACTCACCTTGGAGTTCCATCTTCTCTGTCTTGAGTAGCTCTAGAGCTTCCCTTGACTCCACAAGCGACTCCTCCAAGACTTTGGTGCTGAAGTCAGACTGGGATTGGTAGCCCTCCAGCTGGGTAACCAGCTCAGACTTCTCGGCCTGCAGCTCCTCCAGCTTCAGCTCAACCTCCCGCTTCTGGGAGAGCTTCTCCTGACTCTCATCCTCCGCAGCCTTCAGCGCAGCTTTATAACCCTCAACCTCCCGATGCAGCTGGTCCTTGTCTGTCTCTAGCTTGGACAGCTCCTCCACCATGGCTTGACATCTGCTGGCAAGTTCATTCTTCTCTGTTGTCATGTTTTCTAGCTGTGCATACGACAGAGCCAGCTGCTCTGAGGTCTCTGTCAGCTGGGATTTGATCTGCTGGGCGTCTTCCAGTGCAGCATCGGTCTGCATGAGAAGATGATCTCTCTCCTCAGCTAGAGCTGACACTTCAGAGCTTAATTTATTTATGGATTCAGAATTATCCAATGTAGATGATTCAAGCTCTGCGTTATCTTTTTTCAGTTCTTCAATTATCCTTTCATAATCTAAACATTTAGAAGCTAACAGTTTTTCTTTTTCTGACAACTGATGCTCAAGATGTCCAATTCTGTCTGTGAATGCCATTACTTCTTCGTCATGTTGTCTTTTAGTATCATCTAATTCATGCTGAAGCTTTGAAATCGTCTCTCTCAGGATTTTTCCTGTATCACTGGCCCCATGACTCACCTCTTCTATTGCACATTCATGTTGCTTTACCATCTCCTTCTGAACTATTTTCTCTTTCTCAAGTTCATGGCTAATTCTCTCCCTTTCCAGATTCAGACTTGCAATCTCTTCACCTTTCTCAACAATTTCTTGTTCAAATTCAGCAATTTTGTTTTGTAAAATGAAATCCTGTTCCTCGTGTTGCCTTTTAAGCTGCTCAATCTCCACAACGAGGCTGAGTATTTTTTCATCCTTTTCCCCCTCCGACCTCTTCATCCCTTCTGACTCTGTCACCAGTCGCATCATACTTTTTTTCTCCCCAGAAATCTCCCGCTTTAGATTTTCAATCTCAGTTTTATAGCTCATCAGATCCACTTTCAACTGTTCCTTTTCTGAATTCACCTCCTTCAACTTCGTATCCATCAGTTTATTCTGTGACTGCATGGAGCTGAGATTTTCATAGACACTGGCCAGTTCTGTTTGAACAATATCAATCTGAGTCTTGTTTATATCAATTGTTACACTTTTTGCCCCCACTTCCTCTTTCAGTTTACCCACTTCTGTGTCTAACATTGTAACTTTACCCTCGGCCTCAGTGAGTAAATTTCTCAGCCTCTCAAGTTCAGTGTTGGAGGAGGCAGCAAGTTGTGAGCTAGCCACACTCTCTGCTAGAACCTTCTCCCTCTCCGCAATACACTCACAGAGTTCTTTAGACTTATCTTTCAGTAACTCTTCAACTGAATTCAATTTTTCCAACATGGTCTTACACTCTGATGCCTGATTTTGTTTTAAAGCTGCCAGCTCTTCTTCTTTTGAAGATAATACTTGCTGAATATCTGATGAATTATTTCTAAACTGCTCCAACTGGGTTCTAGCTTCTACTAGAAGGTTATCCATCTCACTCAATTTTTTGTCTTTTTCTTCCAGATTTTTCACCAAATTTTCCATGTCAACAACATGACCTTGACATTGTGAATTCAGAGCATTATTCTGGTCCTGTAGAGTGTCTAAACTTTCTTTCAGTCTACTGCACTCTTCACTTAAGTTTTCCTTATTTTTTTCAACATTTTCTAACACGCTTTCCACCTTGTCCTTATCTTGACGTAATCTTTCAATGTCGTTCTCTTTCTCAGCCAATTTCAGCTCCAGAGTGACAACATTTTCCTTCAACTGACCGCTGGCCAGTTTTTCTTTACTCAGCTCTTCCTCCGATGAACACAGTTGGTTTTGTAGGGTATTTTGGGTTGACTGGAATGCTTCATGCTGCTGTTCCAAACTTAAACAATAACTCTCTAAATAAGCCAAACGTTTCTCTTTTTCTTCCACCTTTTCTTGCTGTAAAGTCTAAAAAAAAAAAGCTTTACCAACTAATGATCTTTTCATCAAAAATTTGCAAGTGCAGAATGTGAATGTTTAATGAGTTAATATTCAGTTTAACTTGATATTAATTAGTGACCTATATGTAATGAAACTTAATCAGATTGAAAATCCAAATATGTTACTTGCAGTTTAACTCTAATGAGTCTATCAGATTGAGAATCTCAAAATGTAACTAGCCATTGCTAAGTGTCCCACCTCTAATGAAAGTCTATCAGATTGAAAATCTCTAAGTGACCCACCTCTAATAAAAAGTCTATCAGATTGAGAATCTCTAAGTAACCCACCTGTAATGAAAGTCTATCAGATTGAGAATCTTTAAGTGTCCCACCTCTAATAAAAGTCTATCAGATTGAGAATCTCTAAGTGTCCCACCTCTAATGAAAGTCTATCAGATTGAGAATCTCTAAGTGACCCACCTGTAATGAAAGTCTATCAGATTGAAAATCTCTAAGTAACCCACCTCTAATGAAAGTCTATCAGATTGAAAATCTCTAAGTAACCCACCTCTAATGAAAGTCTATCAGGTTGAAAATCTCAAAATTTAACTAGCCATTGCTAAGTGCCACACCTGTAATGAAAGTCTATCAGATTGAGAATCTCTAAGTGACCCACCTGTAAAGAAAATCTATCAGATTGAGAATCCTGCAGTTTTAGCTGGAGTTGTTTCACTTGCTCCACAACATGAATGAGACAATTTTCTATACTCTCAGAAGGCATTGAGCTCATCTCCATCTACAAGAGGCATTGAAAAATAAAAACACCAGTTCCATTAGGTTCTTACATTATGTGTATCTATGTGAACAGTTTAACTAAGTAAATGTTAAGGTTTTTAGCTTTGATTTCATGTCCACTGTTTTTGTAAGGTTCAATACAAATTTTCAATTAATGTTTTGTGTGATAATAATAAATTAACAGATCTATTAAATTAAAAATCAAAAATTATTTTAAGATTTATTGCAATGAATTTACAAAATAATATTTTAACTACTAATTTAAATTTTTTGTAAAAACACAGCTATCAACACAGATTAGAAAACAGTTGGCACACATCAGCTTGTGCAATGTTGTCCACACAATAAAAAACAAACGGGGAAATCTCATCTGACACTTAATGAGCAAAAAATTACCTAAGAACTAAAAATAATTATCATTAAAAAAGTTTAAAAAAACCCACGTTTTCTGATTGAACTAAAAAGTAGAAAATAAATGCTATACATCACAATAATGCAAGCGATCACTCTACTATAAGCGATGAAAAACGTGGGGCGCCGAAGTAAAAGTTTTTTATCTGTCATTGTTAATATAAGATGTAAAAGTTATATTACTATTGATTAGATAATACTATTGACTTTTATTAGGGAGTTTGTAGAGAGTTAACAGTATTAGAAACTGTAAGAAAATCACGGCGCCCCACGTTTTTCATCGCTTATAGTAGAGTGATCGCTTGCATTATTGTGATGTATAGCATTTATTTTCTACTTTTTAGTTCAATCAGAAAACATGGGTTTTTAAAACTTTTTTAATGATAATTATTTTCTACTTTTTAGTCTTTGTTTGTTTGCATTAAAATCTTGCTATCGATTTTATCTTTTCGCATTCACGTTTTTTTTGGGTAAACGAAGACAACTCGTAAAAAACACGTGCCTTGAACCCGTGTCGAGTGGGTTAGCAATCGTGTGCCCAACAACTCGACCATATCGTCTCCCCCATACTGGCCACCAGTTGTTCCGGTTGTTTGTAGACAAACACCGCGTGACAACTACTCAGTAAGCAAAAAGAGGGAGAGTACCGAACCTTGTTTTCATCAAATTACAGTTACTGGGTTATGTCCCTTTTTCCCCCACGTTTTTTTGTACAATTATATAGCGGTCTAAAATGATCAATAAAATGTTTCCATGGATCAATTTAGTAATAATAACAATTGAATATTCTATTGTCATCCAAAACAAAGCTTCCCTGAAAATTTCAGCGCGCTAGCTAACTGGGAAGTGCCAGAAATTTCGATCGCAAGATTTGATTGGAAAAACAAACAAACAAACAGAAGCGAAAGCAAGTTAAAGAAAACGTGGGAAAAAAAACTGACAACTTACATTTAAAATTGTCATCAATTCTTGCACCCTCTTTTCTTCCTCTCTCCTCAGGATCTTCCCATCCTCCATGTCCTTCATCACTACCTCCAGCTCTTTCTGGAGCCTGTCTATCTCTCTCTTCCTCCTTTTTCCCTCAGCCTTGACCTCTTTCTTCCAAATATCTTCCTCTGACTCCAGCTGTGATACTCTCTTGACTTCCTCCTCTCTGAATCTTTCATTCAAATCTTTCAACTGATTGTTGTGTGCCTGTTCCAGTTGATCTTTCTCTAGCTTCAACTTAACATGTCTAAAATTACAAACAATTCAGTTGAGATTATGGATTATTAATATTGGATTGTGCAGGATTTGGATTGTGCTCAAAGTAATTTAGAGAGATAATGATCAAAGGAAATTAAACACATCTCAACAAGCTAAGAAGGAGTTTTACGAAGGGTTTTTAGAAAAAAAGCTCTTAACAAATTAAACCGTAGTTTTATTAAAACGTCTTTAGACTTTAACTTTGACTTTTTATTTTCAATCTCGTTGCACATATATAGCTAAACCTAATTTGTGCAGCATTTGTTGGTTTTTTTTCTGGAGTAAATTAAATAACATTTTCAGTAAAAAGCAAAACAAAAACTCTCACTGTATATGTAGTTTTATATCAACTAATACAATTACATTAAGTAAAAAAAACAACACTTTATCTAGCTTTATATATCACTAAATACAGATAAATAACTGATTCTACGGCTGATTCATGTTTCAGGAAAAAGTAATAAAAACACACACTTTATCTAGCTTCATACATCAATAAAATCATTAGGTAAAAACAACACAATACATCTAGATTAATAATAATATATCAATAAAAACCATTCAGTAAAAAACTAACTCTATATATAGCTTCACATACCAGTAAAAACATTATGTAAACATTCACTCTACATCTAATTTCATATACCAATAAAACCATTGGGTAAAAAACTCACTCTACATCTAGCTGCATATATCTCTCCTGTAACACAGCATGCTGGGATTGGAGCAGAGACAACTGTTGTTGCAAGGCTTGTAACTCTCCTTGTAAAGTCCATGCTGATTGGCTAACCTGCTCCTTTTCCTGCTGCAAAGCTCCAATCTGACCAATGAGTTCACTTTTTACACTTTGAGCCGCCTCGAGTTCTTTAGCTTGTTTTTCAACTTCAGCACTATCAAATGACATGCTAATCTGACTCACTGTGTCCTATGGTTAATGAAATATATAAACTTCAATAACTGGGAGAAAAAAAATTAGTAGATTAAAATTTTAAAAAAAACATCAAACTTTTACAAGAAAATTACTGAAATCTTAATAGTGTTCTTATAATTTTTAAAATAAAATATTAAGTTTAAATGTTTTTTGACTTTAAAAAAGAAAGAGCTTAGATGTACCATGCTAGTAATACTTGACCTGCGACTAAGTGGAACGTTCCATGATCCGCTGCCAACTGTTTTGCGACTTATAAATAGTAAAAAAAAACATCATTTTTTATGTAACTACAAGTAAGATTTAGAATTGTAAAGAATTATAAGGACCAAAATGTGTGCAGAAATTACTAAATGAAGCAAAATGATAACTTTAAAATTACATGAAGCATACTTGATTTATATAACAATCTTAAGCAGTATTTAATTTATTAATTCCATTTCATGACGACTATAAATCTAGTTAAACTACCATTAAAAAACAACAACAAAAATTACTTTGCAAATGAAGGCCAAGCTGCATCTAAATCATATCCCCGAGGTGAAAGGTCAAAGTGCATAGAATTGAGATCATATAATGAATTTATGAGACCCTGACATTCTCTCTTATTCATCATAATACTACTGGGGAGAAACCAGGCCCTGTAGAAAGAGCAATCAATTAAAAATAACCAATATAATACCCTTAAATAACGTGAGATGGAGTGGTCTAGGGGTAGAGAGCTGGACTGCTAACCCATAAGTATCGAGTTCGAATCCGTGTTCAAGTCCCTGAGTCCACCCAACTCTGATGGGTACCTAACTCACGTTAGGGAAAGTAAAGGCGGCTGGGCATAGTGCTGACCACACTATCTCTTCATATGCCGAGGTCACAGAAACAAGTGAACTCTACTTCACTTGCCCCATAGACCGTCAGGTTAGAAAGGGAACTTTAACTTAACCCTTAAATAACATCTTTTTATTACAACTCCTTTTCATATGTGTATACCTTAAATGTGTACAATACATTGCTAAAATGTTGAAAAAAAATAGTATTATGATGTTAAAAAATGCCTGCATTGGTAAAAAATGCACTTGTTTAGTGTTGAAAAACTTACACAGATTTCATCAGGTACAATTCAATACACTACCTGTGAAAAACTTACATAGTTTTATTGTATACAACTCAATACTACAGTTGGGAAAAACTTACATAGTTTTATCATGAACAACACACTGTTGCAATGTATCTGCTAATCTCTGATGAACCAGACAGAACCTGATAAAAGCTCGACCTTTTCCTAACGATGTTTTATTCTAAAATATACAAAATAATATGTTGTTTCAATTTTTAATAACATTATTTGATTAAATGTTTCATTCTTAAATATACAAAATAATATGTTGTTTCAATTTTTAATAACATTATTTGATTATAAATGTTTCATTCTAAAATATACAAAATAATATGTTGTTCCAATTTTTAATAACAATATTTGATTAAATGTTTCATTCTTAAATATTCAAAATAAAATTTTGAATTTACAATATATATTATTGGAATGTATTTTTGTATCAAGATGTGTATATAAAAGTTACAATTCATTTTTTATCCTACCAATAAGTATGATGTTCCCATCAAGTAACTTTAAAAAGTTTACACTTAGTTGACATGTGGAAATGGGAGAAATCTACATACCTCTGCAAGACTCTTCACATATTTAATGCCATCATTAGATCCCTTGGCACTTCCAAGGCATTCACAAAAGTAATCCCAGTAGTCTTTCTTCCTTCCCAATAAAGACACCCTTTCTTAAAACACAATAAAAGGCATTTAATTATTGATCTACATCACAAGTTAGTTGCCATATTCAATACATTTTAAGCAGTTATTTTTAAACTTGCCTTTCATTCCTACTTGAATAAGATGTTCTAACTTGGCACAAAACTTCTGCAACACCAAACTGTCATCACTGATTGGTTGGTGATTTTCAAAAAAGTCAGCCTTCAGCTGGATGATGCACTCTTCATAGGAAAAAATTATGAAAGTATGGGAGCAGAAAAAGTGGCTGATTTTTCATACCAATTTCTAACAATGGACTATTCTAAAAATTCAGGGTTGTTAGTAATTTTATAATAACATTTTCCAGTGATTAAGGGAATAGAGTCAATGTTGGTATTAACACGTAATAATAGTTAAATCATAACAACATAATTCTTCTTTTTTTAAAAGCTCATTAATATTGGCATTTTGTTAAGTGATATATTCTTTAATAAAGGTATTGATAACATGTTTTTAATATTCTTAATCTTAAAGCACTTGTAATTACCAAGAATGTCAGTCAACAATTTCTTTTGAAGTGGTTGAGAGATAGTCTTGACTGATGCATCACTGGATATTGGAAACACTGATGAGGCCATCTGTTTAGATATATATTTCACACTATAAAAAAGTTGTTATTATGTGAAGGATTAATAACTTGGATGTGATTTATTAATGATTAAGCTTTCTTTTAACAGGTTTGTGACAATAAACACTAAAAAGATAAGCTACTTCATACAAATGAAGTAATCTCTTGAAGTATGAATATGAAGTATTTGAAGAAGAGAACTTTTCAAAATAAGAAGGTTGTAATAGCTTCCTTTTAAAATAGAGATGTGGCAAGCAATTTTCTCTAAAAATAGGTGTTTTCTAGCATCTCCAAGAAGAGAATTATATATATAGATTAGGCCTATACATTCTATTACTATTAGTAATTTTTAGTTAGTATACTACTAATACTAGGGCAGGGCCTAGAACTAGACCTAGTTAATATTAAGTTGACTATTTTACTATTTTATATTTAATAAAGTACCATTTAATTAACTTTAATTATTTTTTTAATTAAGCTGTGTGCCACAATCCAATGTGTATGCCATCAAAATTTCTAGATCTATATCTAGTTCTAAGAATATTTAATATCTAATTATTTTATTAGCATTCTTGCCCCCCCCCCCCCCCCCCCCCCCAATTTAATTATTAATAGCTTTTCATTTTGTAAACAAAAAACTAACTGCTAACTAACTATCTATATATAATTCTCTTCTTGGAGACGTTAGAAAACAAGCTGTAAGCGCGCCTTGCAGTCCCCTCTCTTCCTCTCTGGGAAGTCTGGTGAGCTGTGGTTCACGCTAAATGTTTACAATCGTAGAGCCGGGTTTAGTGACGGCTATTTGGGGCAGATAATTTAGTTTGAAACGATTTTAAACTTAGGGGAGGTAGCTAAGAGGAGGCTGCTTTCACGGGGGGGGGGTTAGGGGAAAGGAGGGGGGGTTATCGTCCTTAACGACTTACTGATAGTCACAATCATGATAGTGTTTTAAAGCAAATATAACAGTGACAGCAGTGGTACTGTTGAATTCACAATTTATGAATTACTGAAAACTATTAACTGTAACAGTGTAACTGTAGTGTAACTGTAGTGAAAGTGTAGTGACGTAGACCGACGTAGTGTAAGTTGTAAACAGACAGCTAGAGAATACTACTGACTACTAGAAATCTAGATCTAGAGATCTAGAATCTAGAATTGAGAATCTAGATCTAGATCTCTAGATCTGGGTCTCAGACTCGATCATCAATAAAAATTAATATTTTTCATATTGTAAAACGTAGAAAAAAGCTTACATTCACTGAAAGTATTGCTTTTATTACGGTTAAAATTGCCTAATTAAATAAATATGTTATTTAAAACTGCATCGTCAAGTATTACTCTCAGCTTTAACAATATATTTTGTTTCAGATAAAAGTATAATGTTTTGGTCTGAAATTTTAATGTTTGCCAGGTGTTTTAGGTAATTCTATTCAACTAACATAAAAAGGTAGGACTAAGAAGCTATCCAATGTTCATTAGATTGTTTAATGTTTGCACTTCTACAGAATCAACAATAGATATAAATAAATACGCATTAAAGTTAAAATAACAGCTTTTTTATTTAAAGCCAATCAGTAGCGTAGGATTATTGTTTCCTTAGTTGATTTATTCAGGCAATGCTAAAAACAAAAATCAAACTATCATTATTACTATCAACATAAAAATAAATCTAATCAGCTATGTTAGTAGAGTCCTTATTTAAAAAGCATAATCCTTCCATTTTATTCCAGCTGTTTTTTATGCAGCTGTCGAAAGCAGCCTTTTTTTTTCTTTTTCTTTTCTTTTTTTTTTTTTTTTTTTTTGCTTAGTAGTCAAGTAGGCCTATTAGGCCTTGTTGAATGGTCCATGTTTAAGATAGATAACTCATTAATCGGAATCTTTATATTTCGCATTATTGTGTTCGTTTCTTCATATTATGCAATCCCTCGAGTAACAGTACTAAACTAATGAAGACCAAGATAGAGAAAGTTTAAAAGCTCTAGATCTAGAAGAAGCAAGCCTACATAGTGAACTGCATCAGCGCTTGTTAAAAGTAAGTTCAGTTGAAGTAGTAACAATATATTGTTTTGTAATATAATAATTAATAATAATAATATTTAATATACTAAATATTAAATATATATAATATATAGGCCTATAGTAGACTATAGTTGTATAGAGCCTATAGAATTAGATAGACTATATGGCTCATTTATATATTACAAATTATATGTATATATATATATATATATATATATATATATATATATATATATATATATATATATATATATATATATATATAATATCATTAGCATTTGTGTAAATGAAGTAAACTAAGTCCTACATTAAATGGTGACTTGAAGTATATTTAAACCAGAATGCTTTTTCTTATCAGTACCACTTAAGTTGACTTAAGTCACTCATGCGGCTTTTTAGTTTCACACACAGTCACTCAGTGTTGCCCAAAGTGTTGTTTTTTTACAGATTTTTTTTTTAATTCATGTTATCGTTTTGAATAAAGAGAGTCTAGGTTAACAAAAAGAGCACAATATATTCATATTTAAGGGAGTTATGAGTTTGAATAACAGTAATAATCTGGCTTGAATCTACCCATGATGTCAATGATCCATATAACTAATGACTAGAGGTGCTCAAGTATATCAGGGGATGAGATTGATAAAGTCTGCCCTATGTCATGGTAGATACTCACTCTTTATTTGCAGCACAATGATGAGCTACTCACATACAGTACATGTACTTTTTTTGTAAGGTTATTCTTTAAATACAAATTCTACCCCCCCCCCCCTTCCATTATTTGTAGTCTTCCCCATTGACACATCCACGCTGATGCTGAACGAAACCATGTTTAACAGCAGCAAGGGGGAAAACTGGGACATCTTCACCTTCTGTGATGATCACATTTGGGTAATATTGTATGGTTAAATGTTTGGAGTTTTGTTTACTAATTAGTATATTTTTAAGAATGTTAAAACCGACGTGACATAACAAAGATAGACACACAAATACCTATATGTATAGACCTTTTCACATACAAATGTATAAATATATAATTTATAATTGAATTACTATATACAAACATACATACATATATATATATATATATATATATATATATATATATATATATATATATATATATATATATATTAGGATTCTGCCCTTTTCTGGAACAACTCTTGGCCTCAAACAACGCGATGCTTCCAGAACACAATCCTATTGCCCCTTCCATGCTACTATGCTATTTTCTCACTGTTTGTGTATATCTGTTGTTTATGGAGGAGAAAGCCAAGTAGTGTGCATTGGGATCTGATGTTTGTTCTAAAACTGGTAAGTTCAGTTTGGTTTACTTTGACTCAAGACTTATCTTTATATGTGTGTTAGTGTCTGTGTGTTGTCAAGATATGTCAGGTGCCTTGATACACTTTGGAACCAGAACTGGTAGATTCCTGGTCTTTAGTCTGGGATGTATGGCAGGGACATGAGCACTGCCTTTGCCTCCTCACAACCCAACCTTTTGTTCAACCCACAATTTAGTTGCCAAAACTTCCTGCTCCTTGTTACGCTTTTGATTTTCCAATCCTCTTAGAAATCCAAGCAATATGCCTATGAAACATCTCTGCTCCTTATTTCCTAGTTTTTAACTCCTTTCAACAGTTTCACTTACAAAATTATATTTATAACAAAACAAAAACACAGCCTACTTTATTTTTTACTATTTGTTTTTTATATATAGTTTGTTTGTGGCTTGCTTATAGCTACAGAGATTGTTCCATGTTTTCTGAAGTCCAACAGTCTTCTAATTGGCTCTGCAGTATACCTCAGTATAATCAAAACTATAACATATGTGAGTATTAAATCCATATTTGTGCACACCTAAACAGTAGCCTATTTGTTCTAACATTTATGTTTCATCGAGGTTCCCTCCATGCCAACTTGGCAACCTTTGACATAAGCATAAAAGAAATTTCCAATTATTACAATGAAAATTGCTATTGGACATAAAGCAATTCAAGAAACCAGAGAAATAGCCATTATAAATATCCATAGGTGGCAGGTTTTGCTTAATTTGTGGTTTATTAATTGCTTGCTTGAAACGTTATAGGCAAATTTTAAAAAACAGCAATATGACTTGAAAGGTAAGAGAAGCCTGAGTTCATTCATGATGATGTGTGACAAAGGGTGGAAGTGTGTGTGGGTGGAGGTGGTGGGTTTAGAAAATAAAGTGTTTTAAATTCCAAGCCCTAAATACATTCTATTTTTCTAGCTTTTACTTAATGCTTAATGCTAGAATTTGTCATAGATGTAATATATGTGTTTTTCATGTGAAAGTAACATAACAAAAATATTTTCTGATACAGGTGCTAGTTCTGCTCACAGTCATCCTAGAACAAAAATGTTCCATGTTGCAGTCACCGCTGTTATTTCTGTTCTTCTTACTTCTCTTGTTGACACATGTGGTTCCATTTTACTCCAGGATCATCTTACAGGTAAATCCATTTTACTCCAAGATCATCTTTCAGGTAAATCACTACAATCACATTTTAAAAAAAGAGTACAGAACTGTAAGTTACAATCTTTGAAATGCATCAAAAGTAACAATTTGTGTGTTGTTTGTGTGGTCATTAAAATTACATAGGTTGATACCTTGCACTATTTCATAACCAAATAAAAGTTTTCCTAACTTCTTCCAAAATTATTACTAATTGATATTGTGGCAAAAACGTACTTTATGTTAAAAGTTTACTGCTTCTATCGTTCATAAACATTCAGTTTTGTACAATTACATTTATAGTTGTTGTTTTTTTCAATATAGGTACTATATAGTTTTCATCTTACAATTAAATGGGTTAGTATTGACTAATGAACTTTTGTCATTTTTTTTTCCATAGGAATATGAGACAAGTGTTGTGTCTTTTGTCTTGTTTTACTTTAACTTTGGGACCATTTTGTGTGCAACAGTTCTGTATGGCTTTAATAATAAACATCCAAACTTTAAGGTAAGGTATGTATTTTTCTGGATAGAACTTATGATTAAAGTTAATTAAATTAACTGGCCATGCTAATTATTACATTGAATAATATCTAGCCCAGCACAAGTGGATTTAAGCACTTGCTGCACACCTGCTTAGGACTTTCACTAATTAAATATAGAGAGACAGAGAGATGAGCTGCTGGGTGTTGAGCTTCCTTGTCACACCACTGTTACATGCAATTTATTTTAGAGTTATACATACTTTTTTTTATAAATTGTATTCAAATATGTTGCAGAATGTCTAAAAGTGAATTGAAAATACTGCTAATCTTTGCTTGTACATTGTTTTGTATAATATACAGATTGCTATATATAAAACCACTATGATGAAAACTATTAATTTTCAATTTCGATTTATTTTTATTTTTTTCAGCCCTCATCAATAGAAGCTGATGCTCCATTACTTTCTAAGTTTACATTAAACTGGGTGATGAGGTACTATTGAATATTTATCAATACTGTTTTGAATAATTTTTTTCTTTTATTAATTTGTCATCACCATACAAATGTTTAGCTGGCATTACCAATTAGGAAACATAGTTTATCCTTTAGGTTTAAAGGCTAGGATTCAATTAATTTTTTGCTATTGTCAGTAAGTAAATAGATAGAAGACTATTAGAGTACAAAATTCATAATAAAAGTGCTTATAATCTCCTTTATAAATTAAAATACACTGTTAATGCAATTGAAAACCAGCTCTAAATACTTGTTTTAACTCTGAAATACTTATTCTTATTTTTAATATGATTACATTTATTATAATTTACAATAAAATGTGCTTTTTTATATATCTATTTTTACAGTCTAGTAGTTAAAGGCTACAAGAAACCATTGACTGAGACAGACATTTTTTCACTTAAAAACAGTGAAAAATCTGAAACAGTTGTGCTTTCATTTCTAGAGAATCTTTCAAAATACAGCAGAGGGTACTAGTTTATTGATCTGGTCTTAATATTAGATTTATATATCTTATGTATTCTTTTTGCATCAAAATAATTTAGAAATAATTGTATTAATATCTGCTGGGCTGAATTTTTTTTTGGCACAACTGTGGTTTCACATGAACTTGTTCAAATTTTAAAATCAACTTTTAAATATTCTTTTTATTAATATTTCAAACTAGGCAAGCTGCTAATGCTAGCAAGTACAAGGACAGAGAACATCAGAACTTGAACACAAATTTTTCCAAATCCAAACAGACATTGCATTATCCCCCTTTGGTGGGCAAACATCCTAGTCATAAAGTGACAGCTGAAGCTAAAGAAGAAGAAATCTTTTCTGATCTACAGAATGAAAATTTTTGTTTCCTTCCTTCTGCTGAATCTCATGAGACCAGCAGATCTGGGATTGTGTTGTGGAAGGTGAGTTCAGAGAATAAAAGTCTACCTTTTTAGAACTTAGTCAAGTAATTCAGCGTGTGGTAGATCTTGTCCATTATATAATAGCAACTATAAATTATTCATACATATAGTCATCTAGCCTTAGTTGGGAGAGGGGAGCTCAGGCTTATGTGATGATGTGTGAACAAGAGAAAGTTGCAGTGTATGTTCTTATTAAAAAATTAATCAGGTAATCCTGCGCACATTTTGGAAGCAAGTCCTAAAATGCTGTTTGCTGAGTCAGCTGGCTAAAGTTTTTACTCTTCTTTGTCCAGTGCTTCTTAAGTAAGTCTTTTTATATGCCAGATAAGGCATAATACAATGTTGAGTGATAATTGTGAGGCATATTTTCTTACATGTTTTAATGTGTCAGATTTTACAATTATTTAATTTTTAAAACACCAATCTTTTATATTTTTTAGATCCAGTGTCTTATTTTATTTTAAAACAATTAACATTTAATTTTTCTTTCTATAGGTTGTTCATAGATTTTTCAATGGCCAAAGATGAGCCAGTCTGGCATGGCTATTTGTTGGCAACAGCTCTGTTTTTGTCATCAGTTCTGTCACAAATCATCTATGAGAGCTACATGTTCCAGTGCAACCTAACAACAATACGAGTTAGAGCAGCCCTTGTATCAGCTATTTATAGGAAGGTGTTGATAACATATTATATATATATATTTATATATATATATATATATATATATATATATATATATATATATATATATATATATATATATATATATATATATATATATATATATATATATATATATATATATATATATATTCATTCTGTTTGGATTAATTTTGTTTTTTTTTAATTTTGAGTTTTAAAATGTGTAAAAGAAAACTTTGTTTTGATTTGCCCATATGAAATTAAAATTATGTTACTAAATTCATTAGATCTCAGTCATATTATACCAAATCCAGGGATATATTTTGCAATTCAACTTTCAGACTTTATCTCTCAGCACAGAAGCAAGGCAAGTTATGTCTTTGGGGGAGGTAATTCAATTGATCTCAAAGGATGCTGACACAGTGTATACAATGCTAAATGAAGGTTTCGTTTTGATTGATACACCATTAGATTTTTTAGTTGGACTGATCATGATATACTACACTGTTGGGGTTGCTATGTTTGCAGGTAGATTTAACATTTTTATTGCAGTGTAGGCCTATAGGTTGTAATTTTGTTTGTGTTTTATAATAACCAAATGAATATAGTTTATAAAATTTCTTGTTAAATTTAAAACATTTGTACATAAAAGGGGAAAAAAAAATTTAAAAATGTTTTTAATTTAAAAAGCTACTTTTTAGCTGTTGTCTTATAAAATTTGTATTACAGAATTACAAAATATACAAACTTATCCACAGGTCTTGCCACATTGGTTTTCCTCTTTATTCTAAAACTGATTACTTCTCGCTTACAACTTCAGTGTGAGAAAGACTTAAGGGAAGCAGCAGATAGGAGAATGAAAATAACATCTCAGGTTTTTACCGGAATCAAGGTAAATTTTATGGCCAACTAGATTTTTAGAAATAATTGAATTTAGACCAGTTGTGATTAATTTAAACTGCAATTAATGTTGACAGAAAAATGATCAGGTTTAGCTATGCTAGGATGTTCATATTGTTTTTAAGCTAATACCCTTACATTTGTGGTTTACCATCCATTTTAAATTCAAAACTTTCATTATGTTCATCATAAGTATGCCTTATTACAGATTTCTTAAAATTTTTAAACTGTGATAGTTACAAATATTGTCATTCATTGCTAAGTCAAACCACACATTTTTAGGTTTTAAAACTTTATGCATGGGAGGAAGCATTTAAAACGCAGATGAACAATATAAGGAGAGATGAACTAAATGCTGTGTTCAGATTCTATTGTTTAAGATTGGCCTCAACCTTTTCCTGGACTGGAGCTGTCTTCTGGGTTCGTTTCTTAAAATAAAATCTTAAAATAAGGGTCATCCATAAATGATGTCACTCTCCTAGGTGGGAGGTGGGGGTACATACTTTTGCAATGAGGTATAACAAGAGGGAGGGGACTCCAAAAATGGGACTAAATACTTTTGCATTTTAAAAAGTAACTCAATTTTAACAATTTTTTTGTGTTTTGAAAAGTCGTGTTTTGTAAATTGCAATACAAATTTATCAATAAACTCTATTTTAACCAATTTTGTTTGTTTTAATTGAAATTTTGAGGGGAGTGATATGACATCTTTCTAAGGGATGGCAGTGCTTCTGGTTTTTGTGATGACATGTGATGTTGGAGGGTGAAAAACTGTTCTAAATAAAGCATGTCGTTTAAAAATGACTCTGGGTCCTACTAAGGCCTATAATATCTTCTCATCTTCCATGTAATGTTCAAGTTCCATTTGGTAAATCATGCTTTTCATTTCCAGCTGACTTTCTTCACCTTTCTGACCTACATCCTTGTTGACCAAGAAAATTACCTAACTGCATCAGTGGTGTTTGTCACTATTTCATACCTTGGTATAGTTCGTACAGCAATCAATTTTTTTGGTTATAGCTTGGATTATGTCATTGCTGTGAGTAACTTGATTATATATTTAATTCACTTTATTATTTTTGTGTTGAATCTAAGTTCTTTGAGACATTGTATTTATAATTCAGGTGGCATTTCATTTTTTTTTATCATGTCACTAATTTAATACCAATTCATACACTTTTTAAATTAACAAAATTTTTCGTAGGGTTTTGTGTCTTCAAGACGCCTAATCAAGTTTCTTGATTTAAAAGACATAGAAAGGTGGTCACCAGCAGAGCATGTTTCCTCTCAGATGACTGACGGTATGTTTGCAGTAAATGTAATATAAAAGCTACAATACACTGTAATTCTAATGTGGATTTTAGGTAGAGAACAAAGCAGGATAAATTTTAAATTCTTTTTTATTTTTTTATATATTACTAATTTAAGGATTAAAAAAAAAATTTTCCAAAATAAAGCATATTCTTGAAATTTAAATTTTAGATGATGCCATTTTAATATCTAATGGGAATTTCGGATGGTCTTCAAATTCTGAAGCTACCCTTAAAAAGTATGTTGACATTTTTCTGCTAACTACATTTTTCCATGGTGGCCCATTTTAAGAGGTTACTACTTTTCCCTCAAGCTTGCGTTTAGAAACAATTTCTTAACCTTTAAATATATTTATTCCAGCATTTGTTTACAAGTCCCAAAGGGTAGTCTTGTAGCTGTTGTGGGTATGGTAGGAAGTGGCAAGTCTTCACTTCTGTCTGCTATCTTGGGAGAGATGGTTGTACATAGTGGACATGTTAACAAACAGGTCAGGAATACATGTCTATATTTATTTTATTTCATAACTTCTTCTTAAAGTACTTACATGGTAATTTGTTCTTGAGTAAATTGAAGTAATTTTGAATTGTTTGTTTCTCATTGGAAACTTTGATGAAAGGCATAAATTTATTGACCCATTTATCTTAGGAGCTTCCACCTTTTTTAAAAATGTCAGATTGCAACTTTTCAAGAAATTACATTTAATCACCAGGGTACCATTGGGTATATACCACAAGAAGCATGGATACAACATAACACATTGAGAGAAAATATTCTGTTTGGGTCTGAGATGAGAGATGATGAGTACACTGAAGTCATTAAAGCATGTGCCTTGGGACCTGACCTAGAGGTTCTTCCCTCTGGTGATGACACAGAAATTGGAGAAAATGTAAGTCAGCTGTTTAAAAAAAAACACTGTTAGCAGTTTATAATAAAAACATAAAAACAGCCTTTAAAGTTAAATGGTTTTAAATGCTCTAATAGTTAGAGAATAGAACATAATTAGATATAATAGTAGTATTGGTTGCTGAATGAGGTTAAGACAGTTTGGGAAGAGTAGCATAATAATTAGAAAGTTTGACATGAAATATATGCAACAACATTTAATTTTTTTTTACTAGCCGAAGTCAAAAGTTATCAATTTTTTTAAACATTAAGGTAATAATTAAAGATAGTTTATTTACATGCAGGGCATAAATTTGAGTGGAGGTCAGAAGCAGAGGGTCAGCCTGGCCAGAGCTGTGTACCACAAGAGTGATATCTACCTTCTAGATGACCCACTTAGTGCTGTAGACAGTCATGTAGGGAGACACATATTTGACCATGTGATTGGTAAAAATGGACTTCTAAAACATAAGGTTAGTGAGATCTGTAGCCTGTAAACTTGAGATGAGATTGACTTATCTGTACTTTAAAAAACGATAAATGAAAGTTTGCTCTAAATTAATTTAAAAAAAAAACGTTATGCTGTTTTAATTATTTATTGTAAAATTTAGATTAAGAGTAATGTTTCCACTTATTACCAAATATTGCCACTGCTTTAAACAATGCATACTTGTATCCCTTTTTAAATAATAGGACAAAGCCTTTATGTTGACAAAAAATATTTTCTTGTATGATTTCCAACAGACAAGAGTTCTAGTAACTCATGGATTACAATGGTTGCCAGAAGTTGACAGAGTGTTTGTCATGACAGATGGGCAGTGTACAGAACAGGGATCATTTGAGGAACTCATGTCACATAATGGCCCCTTTTCTCAGTTCTTGTCTCAGTATCTCTCTCAACAGCAGGCACAAACAGAGGGGGTTAAAATCAGGGATGGAAATGTAAACTTGAAAGATGAAGAAGAATCAGTCTCTATTAATGAACTTGAAAATGGTAATCAGCTACATTTGAACATACTATATTACACTGTTGCCCAAAATCAAACATTTACTATCTTGTAAGACTTTGAATAGCCAATTAAATATTAAACATAATTAATTTTCAGAAGAAACTAGGAAAGATGTCTTTAAAAGGCTTGTCTCAAGTGATAATATCAATGAAAATGAACTTGAAAAGTAGGTTTCAAAAACTATGTTAAAATTCAAATCAAGTTGTGTTAAAGAAAATATTTTTTTGGAATTAAAACATAATATTAGAGTAATTTATGGCTAACACAGTAGATTAACTTACCAAACTAATGTTAGGTAGGATTATCTTATTAGGGCTAGATTAGTGGTATTCAAGTCCTGGCATATTTTATATATAAAAATTATGATGCACTGGTTGACACTTTACACCACATATGTATACCATCTCATAAAAAAATCAATTTAAGCATTGTAACATTTTGATACCATTGAGAATTTGTTTTCAAATGTTTTAATTTGAAATAGGCATTTTGAAGACAACAAGCAACCCGCATTTGTTAAACAAGAGAATATGAATGTTGTTGAAGCTGAAGAGTTTGACGCATCATCTAAACTAATCCAGGAGGAAGAGATTGCAACTGGCAGGGTAATAATGATTTCTTTTATTTTTGGAACTTTTAAATACAATATTTTCAAATTTTTCTATATGTAGGTCTTTAAACATTTCACATAATGTAATTTCTGTATGATAATTAATATAAATACCAAATAATACTAATTGATATAATTTTACTTGAATTATCTTTTCTTTGTGAAATCACTGTCCTAGTTACCTCCCTCATTAACTAACACTTATTAATGACCCATATTTTAGCTAATTCCCATATATTATCGCAATATTTCTCTGCACCTGATTTTTTAAAAATATGTGTTTTCTAGGTCAGCTGGTCAGTGTACACATCATTCTGGAAGTCCATGGGCTATTTTTCTATTTCTGTAATGAGTCTGCTGTTCCTCTCCTGTTTTGTTTTTGAACTGGTGGCTGGATTTTGGTTATCCTACTGGGTGGACAGCCCACTACTCAACAATCATTCTCTACCTGCTCATAGCCCAGAGAGGCATGCTGAGAATATCTATTTTGTGTCTATTTATAGCATATGGGGCATACTAGAGAGTAAGTAGTGCTTCAGTAAAATTTGAAATATTTTTAATACTCTGAAACATGTCTATAAATTGAATATATTAACTGTGAAATATTTACATTTTGACATAACAGTACGATAATGAATTTTATATTTCCCTTTTTCAGCTGTAGTGGTGATTATATTTTCCATAATTAAAGCATTTAGACATAGACATGCAGCGAGAAATATTTATGAGCAGTTAATCAACAGCATTTTGACCAGTCCAATTCAGTTCTTTGAAACCACACCAATTGGGAGAGTCTTGTCAAGGTATGCTAACTAAATCATCCCATTAGGCAAATTTACAAAGAATGCATTAAAACCTTCAAAAGGGCTTCCAGCAAAAGGGCTCCTGTTGATAACTAAAGATTATGTTTTGGTAGATCCCTCATATATGTCTTAAATATTATTTATAGTTTATAAATATTTAAAATATGAACATGATTTATTAATTTTTAATGTGTTTTAGACTGATATAACTAAGCACAATTACATCAAGAATTACTAGAAACAAACAGTCAATTCCTTGAGTATAGAATTAGTTTCCTGCTCGAAATTAAAATCCTTTTTATCTTAAAATTTAAATCTATCCCAGCGTTATGATGCATTCTTTGAGATTTTTGTATCTTACATTGTTCTAATAGAGTCTCCAAGGATATGAGTGTAGTTGACATGACTCTGGTGTTGTCAATGGAATTCTTTCTTCATACAATCTGTGCCCTTTTGTGTATGATTGTAGCCATCATTATCAATGTGCCGGTCTACCTAGCTGTAGTAATTCCTGTTCTGCTCCTATTTTATTTTATTGAGGTAAATCATGGTATTAATTATAATATAAATCATCATCTATCTGGTTTGAGCCCAAGACACATGGGCATTGGCGTAGTGAGGTCAGGTGTCACCCGGTGCGGCACTTAATGGTGCCACCCCCTCCCCCAGAGGCGTTGCGACCCTTCCCGGAACAAACTTTCAAATTTTGGATTTGCACCCCCTCCCTCAAACTTTTGATTTGCACCCCCCCCCCTCAAGTTTGTCTCTATATATTTTGCTATTTTTTGCCTTGGTGTCACCCCCCTAAATGGTGTCACCCAGTGCAATCCGCACCCCCCGCCCCCCCCCCCTCGCTACGCCCCTGCACAAGGGTCAGATGAAGTAGAGTTCATCTGGTTCAATGACATCAGCATACAAGGGAAAATATTGTCCACTATGCCCAGCCACTTTTGTTTCTCTAACATGTGAAAAGTACCCATTAGTGCTGAGTTGACCCTGGGATGTCAGATAGAATCAAGCCTGGGATCCGACTTGAGACTTTTGGGTTAGCAGTTGTATGCTCTACCATTCAACCACAATGTCCCTAATAATAATTTAATGAATGAAATAATAAATGGAATGAAGATTATAATGTGGTTGTAATTGATAATATTGTTTAATTTAATCAGTAAAAATGGTAATTTTCATTACATAAATATACTTTTATACTGTAAATATGTTTTTTTGCCCAGGGAAGTGAAAAAAGATTACAACATTTTTCAGAAACTTTATTTACCAACATCGTGCCAGTTACGAAGGTTGGAGAGAAAGGGGTTGTCACCCATCCTAAGTCACACAAGTGAATCCTTTGCTGGTAGGAGTGTTATATGTGCTTTCAGAGAAGAGGAAAGATTCATCAAGGAAGCTGAGGAGAAGGTGGACTTTTTCCAACAGAAAACTTACACAAGTATGGCTTGTGAAAGGTAAGTCATGCTTGCGAAATTGGCTTTTATACAATAATATTTCATGTTCAATAATATTGCCTTCAGATTAAATTATTATCTGATATCAAATATTAAGCAAGATACCACCAACAGGTGATATAAATATAAAACATATTAATATTTTACTTCAACTTTATTTTACACATAAAGAGAGGCAAACCTTAAATGTTAATGAGTATATATGATTGATAGTTAGCTATTAAGCATGATCATTTAAAATACTAATAGGCTTGGTGAATGGTGCTATTTAAAGCTGTAAAATCATGTTCAGACTCATATTTTTTTAGAAAAAGATGACCTTTAAATGTGTTATTCCAGATGGCTATCAATTCGTTTGGGTGTTATAAGTGATGTCTTAGTTTTGATTGCTGGGATACTCTGTGTGGCTTATCGTGAACAACTTTCTCCTGGGCTCATTGGTCTTTCAATGAGCATGGCATTAACAGTAAGTTTAGGTTTACTTTGTTACAAACTATTTTTTTCAAAAATTGTGAAACCATTCAACAGTAGGATGGTGTGATCGGATAGTGGAGCATAGGACTGCTAACCCAAAAGTATTGAGTACAAATCCCAGGTTCTGGTAAGAAGGGTATCCCTTATTGCACCCAGCTCTGATGGGTAATTGACCTGCAAGTAAAGGCGGCTGTGCATAATGTTTACCACACTATCCCTTCATATGGTGAGGTCACTAAACTATATTATTATATATGAGCCAACCGGCGGCGTATCATATGCCACTATTTAGTTGTTTTATTTTCTACTTTTCAGTAATTCATAATTTGTGAATTTGACAGTACCAATGCTGCCACTGAAAATATTTGCTTTAAAACACTATCAGTAGGTCGTTAAGAATGATAACCGCCCCTACCTTCCTTAATACCAACCCCTACCCTACAATTCCCCCCCCCCTCCCGTGAAAGCAGCCTCCTCTTAGTTACCTCCCCTAAGTTTAAAATCGTTTCAAACTAAATTATCTGCCCCTAATAGCCGTCACTAAACCTGGCTCTACAATTGTAAACATTTAGCGTGAACCACAGCTCACCAGACCATGTAGGGGTGGGGGTGGTAGGGATATGCCTAGAGAGGAAGAGAGGGGGCTGCTATGCGCGCTTACTGCTTGGTGTTTTCTATGGTCTCCATGGAGAGAATTATATATATATAGATTATAGTTATATTATATATATAGACGTATATATAATTATATTAATGTTTAATATTAAAATAGAGTGTATTCTTTTGATTTAGCTGTATGGTTAATATTTGTTTTTAAAAACAAAATGTGAAAAAAAAAGTAAATATGAAACATATTTTTCAATTAAACCCACACATTTTGAAGAAGGTAATGATTGATAGTATCAATCTTCATAGATAACATGGAACATGCAGCTGCAAGTAAGAGTAGCAAGTATTCTAGAAATGGATATTGTTTCAGTGGAGAGGATTCTTCAATATATTAATTTACCATCTGAAGTAAGATGTTTGTTAAATGTTTCTACAAAATAAACATTTTAAATTATTATTAACTATACATTTAAAAACCTATAGAAAAATCTAACATACCAAACTGGAGTCCCACTAATAATATATAAAGTATCTGTTGCTAAATGATTGTATGTGAATGTTTACAGGCACCTCGCCATTTGCCATGCCCTGGTTACAACCAGCATTGGCCTCAGACAGGAGATATAATCTTTAAAGATGTTTGCGTACAATACAGAAAGGGGTTGGATTTGGTTCTTAAGAAAATAAGTTTTCATGTTCAGGATGGTGAAAAGGTATGTAACTCATAAAATTTATTTTTAACAAGTAAAAAATAATAATTTACTACTTTTATTATAAAAATTAGGTTTGTATCCTCCTTTATATTATTTAATGAGATTTCATATTTTTACACCAGCTATAAATGTTGCAGGATTAGTTAATATGCTAAGGTTAATATGTTAAGGTTTAACAGAAAAATAAAACAAATTCAAAAAGCCATGTTCAGTTAATTAAAAGTTCTTTGTCATGATCGGAATTTTTGTTTTTAAGTACATTCTTATCTACTCAAAGTATAATTCAATTTGTTTTCTATTTGACTGACACTGTTTTAAAAGGTAGGAATTGTAGGTAGAACAGGTGCTGGAAAATCATCCCTTCTCTTAACTCTGTTTCGATTGGTCGAGCCCTGTGATGGACAAATCTTTATTGATGGTTTGAATATTAGTAAACTTGGTCTCTATGATCTCAGACAGAAGTTAACTATTTTACCTCAGGTTAGTTGGGCTAAATCAAAATGGTAACATAGACTTTGGCTTTATCTGTTAAGATTATAATTCAAATATTATTTATCGTTGTACCACCAAATTGTTCATTTTAAGGACCCAGTGTTGTTTACTGGTACTCTGAGGACCAACTTAGACCCTTTTGATGAATTTCAAGAGAAAGAAATATGGACATCGCTAGAACATTGTCATCTCATGTCTTTTGTGAAGAACTTACCAGAAGGGCTGGACTATGAAGTTGGGGAAGGAGGTACAAATTTGAGGTAAAATTACCCCACAATTCTTGTCAAAATAAACTCGTTGAGTTTTTTAAATTTTTAATTTATTAGAAATACTTGTATTTTAAAAGATATGTTTAGCTAGGAAAGTATGTTAAAGATTTCTATTTTCTAAAAGTATTGGACAGAGACAGCTTGTATGTTTGGGGAGGGTGTTGCTAAGGAAAACAAAAATCTTGGTGCTGGATGAAGCCACAGCAGCTGTGGACGTAGAGACAGATGAACTGATTCAAAAGACAATCAGGTCTGAGTTCCAGGGCTGTACTGTGTTAACCATTGCACATAGGCTCAACACTGTCATGGATTACGACAGGTGATCGCTTTTTCTTTCATAGTTAAATAGTTAATTAAAATGAAATAATATTTGGTAAAATTTAGTTTTTCTAATAATTTTTTATCAGAACAACCTTAAAAGTTTTGCCATCATCTGTAGTTTTTAAAAGGTATTAATAATTTACATAAATAAAATATCTGTCTGTAATTGCAACAAATGAAAAAAAAAATCCTGGGTTCTTTTCACTTAGATTTTAATTTTAAAAAAGACACATCTGAAAAAAATCTTATTCATTTTTAAGTAGAACTTTAGGCTTGAAAAGCTGGTTCCAAATGGTTTGAAATTTTTGTTGCCTGAAAGCATATTTTTCAACCAAAATTGAATACTTTTAATATTTGTGTAATAAGTAGGCTACAAAATTACTTTAAGGCTAGAAATAGTCAAAGAAATAATTACTAGTAATATAATAGTAATTTAGCAAGCACTTTTATTTTTTATTTGGATTAGTAGAGTCAGGATGTTGTGGTGACTTGGGATGTTATATTATTTAATATAAATACAATACACTAAACACCATAGATCACTATTGTGTATTTTTATCATGGAAACCAATTGTTCTGACTTTTATTGTTTTACTCCCCCTGGCCATTCCAGTTGTTTTCAAAGGAGAGGTTGAAGGCAGTTTTTGAAAATATTTGAATCAATAAATAATACTAAACTACTTTTCAACTACTTATATTCGATACAAAAATATAACAATGAGTGTAATCGATGGTTCCCAAATGGCTTTAATTTTTACTAATATAACTATAATTTTATCACTTGCCATATTTTTAAAAAGATTTTTTTAGAAATTTAGTATGATTATATAGACTTTTCATTGTAAACACTGCATACATAAAAGTAATGCAAGTACAATATTTCAAACATCATTATCATATCAATAAACTCATTTTCCTCATCCATAGAATTTTGGTTCTAGACAAGGGGAGAGTATCAGAGTTTGATTCCCCAGCTGTTTTACTGAATGATGTCAACTCTTTGTTTTACAAGATGACAGCAGAGTCACAAGCATTGAGATTAAAAAATTCTTAGACACAAGCTCATATTATTAATTTCTTAATGTTATACATATTTCTAAAGGAACATATTTAGTAAGTTGTCTTTCTAGAATCAAGTAACATTCCCTTTTGTTTTGATCTCCAACGAATTTACAGTATTTATTCATATTTAATAACATCTATAGATTTTTTGTAAACAAAAAAGTTAGTACAAAATTAAAAAGGTACAACATATACTTTAAAACATATGTCAAACATATAGAAAACAGAAGCCTTATCATTCAAATTATTATATACATTGCATTTTGTCATAAAGTTGTTAGTTTATATTTATAATATAGGCCTATTTCTGTAAATGTTTTGAAAAATAAATGCATTAATGAATGCATTAAAATAATGTTTTAGGCATTAATGTATTGTCTAATGAATTGTAAAACATGTTATTTGACTTTTTTTTAAACTACTATTTCACACAAAAATCTTTACCCAAAGTTTTTTGTGGAAACATTCATATTGCATTTTAATGTAATTTATGTATATTTATTAATTAATGTGACATACGGGACATGTAGTTTAATTATAAATCAATGGCTACATGACTAGGCCTACTTTATTTTGAAAGAATTACTAGTACCAAACAGTATTATTTTTAAAAATACTTTTTAATAATTTATTATCTTTTTGTTTTACAGAAATAAAATTCAATATAAAATTGATGTTAGTTTTTGTTCATTTTTTAGGTAGTGAAAAGTTCACATTGGGTTAGATTTTTTTACATATTATACAATGCTTTTTTGTGTCGTGTATGATATTTACAGATGGTCACAATTAAATTGATAACACGAAAAATCTTACCAGTTGCATATGGTTAATTAGTTTTTTAATTTAATTTTATAACTTGTTCTTTAGACATAAATGAACCATATTTCGTTTGTAAACATATGGTAATGTTTTGAGCTGACGTTTTAACATCTTATATTTTATATTTATATACACAATTTTACAATAACAGAAATATTTAAAAAATAAATGCTCATAAAAAGGTGAATTTCTTAGATATTTGCCAACTGTTTTGGGGAATATAAAAATAATAGCCAGCCAACAGGCAGGCTGTATAAACTTCACTGCCAGTTTATCTATAATTAAATGTGTATAAAATTTCCAAACTTTGTCACTCGCGTGATTGCTTGCTTACATTTTCTAGCCCGCAAGGTGAAAAATCCAAACATGGTCGGCGGGGTCACTGTGAGTTCAGCAGGCCTATAGTCATACGTCATATAATGAACCAAAATTCTATTTTAATTTGTAGGTGTCTTCACTTCTTCCCCCCCCCTCCCCCCATTCAACCAAATTGAAAACAGACCTACTTCTGGTCATTGTTTTTTTTTCTAAGTTCACATAGATCTTCAACCGCGCATGCTAGATAGCGGTAAAAACAATTTACTAAAGAACAGTTTGCTTAGCTAGATGTAGGACAGTCATCTATCCTACTAGATCTAGATTCTATTTTCCATTCTTTAACCTGTGCCCACCTTAGGTATTGAATAAAACACTTAAACTTTATGTCAACATTGAATTGCTAAAGAGGACGAAAAAAAGTCGGGCAGTCCTGATATCTATTTTTAGATCGCATGCTACCTCGAGAGAAGATTTAACGGACCGCAGAGCGATCCTCGCAAATGCGGCCTTTATTTTTTCATCGTATAAATATCAATTTTGCTGATTTAAAAAAAAAATTAGTTTCTTTATACTTTTACGCTTTCTACCCAGCGTAGAACAATACAAATTGTTTAAAAAAGTGTCTGAATCAGAATATTTCTCCCTATGACAAGATAATATTATGAACTCAGAATGACCCCAAGCACGTTTGTCATATTATTATTGCTCAGGCTATGACTCTATGAGCTATGTTAAAGTGACTGTGATCCCTCAAACTGCGGTATTTGTTTCGCATTTTCTTCTCTCATTTCTCGCCTCGCAGTTTCGTGTCTAACAATTTACCAAAACCAGGATAGGATCGTGTCAGCGTGCGACGGGTAAACTAGTTATTTCATGTTTGCAACATTTGTCTTTTCAATACAAAACCACAACTTCCATCTGAAAAATGTTAATCCAGGCCTAGTCCAGGTCTAATGTTTATTCATTGCAAAGACAACTCTTTGAAAAACAAGAAATGGAACACAGTTAAAGCTAGAATAAGCTTATCGTTTTCATATTACCTCACTATTATTCCCCGCTGTTTTTTTTTAAATAAATGACGTTGGTTTAGTGGCCTAGTTCTACGCCCTATCTCTAGGCCTACTTTCAAGTTAGAAAACTCAAGAAACGGAATCTAAAAATATCTCATTTTTGTTTTCATTTCTTCATCTTGTGCAATCAATTCCTGTAAGTTTAAACATGCGATATCAACGGAGACAAAGAGAGGGTTTTCAAAGCTCGATAAGAGGGAAACCTACTATTGTTCTTAAAAATGAAATGCATTAGGATTTTATCAACCTAATAGAAACTAAGTTGACTGCCTCCACACTTGGTAAAAAGTAAGTTTAGTCGCTCAGGTAAAAATGCATTAATATGTAATGTATTATCATTTATAAAAAAAATAGTATTTATTGTATCGTATGTTTAACTTATTTCATCATTATATTATGTATGATACTTAATTATGATAAAGTAAGTTACAGAGGAGTCAACAATATGTTTTCGAAATGTTGGAGAGGGGGGGGGAGGGGGTAAAAGATTTTAACATATTCCTTTTTAAATGAACTTGAGTTTGAATAACGTTAATAATCTGGTTTGAATTTATCCAAGACGCCGAGGTCCACTAACGCTAAAAACAAGTGACACGTTTTGTTGACGATAATAAGGTAGCTACAGTGTTTCATCCAGGCATCTCTTCCAAAGAGAGTGTACCGCCCCCCCCCCCCCGAACTTTTAACTGTGTCTGCACCCCTCCCCCGAAAATTTAAAGTGCCCCCCCCCCCACCCGTTGAAAAAAGTCTGGAAGAAACACTGGGCAGCCAGTGAATATTCACTCCCCTCTTTGACAACTATAGGCGTTATCATTGTTATTACAGTCCTGTTAAGTCACTGTTAGTAACAGATTAACATGAAAATTATGAAAACACATGTAATATTTTATGAAACGTAATTCGGTTTCTATTGTTAACCTAAAAATCTATTAATATTGCATGTAATTTTGTTCTTTTAAAAACGAATCTTTATTCCCCACTCCCCCCCTACTCCCCCCCCCCCCCCATTATTTGTAGTCTTCCCCAGTGACACTCGTACTTTGATACTGGACAAAACAATGTTTAACGGCAGCGTTGGACGAGACTGGAATATCTTGACCTTCTGTGATGATCCGTTTTGGGTAATGTTGTATAGTTGATGTTTTAGATTATAGGTCTCAATTAACATATTTAACAAACATAGTATTATATATAAAAACAAAAAAGGGCGCAACATATATATATATATATATATATATATATATATATATATATATATATATATATATATATATATATATATATATATATATATATATGGGGACGGAGTGGTCTAGCGGTAGAGAGCTGGACTGTAAACCCGTAAGTCCCGGGTTCAAGTCAGTAGATCGTCCCTGAGTCCACCCAACTCTGATGGGTACCTAACCCACGTTAGGGAAAGTAAAGGCGGCTGGGCATAGTGCTGACCACACTATCTCTTTATATGCCGAGGTCACAGAAACAAGTGAACTCTACTTCACTTGCCCCATAGACCGTCAGGTTTGAAAGGGAAACTTTACTTATATATATATATATATATATATATATATATATATATATATATATATATATATATATATATATATATATATATATATATATATATATATATATATTTAGGATTCTGCCCTTTTCTGGAACAACTCTTGGCCACAAACGACGCGATGCTTCCAGAACACAATCCTATTGCCCCTTCCATGCTACTATGCTATTTTCTCACTGTTTGTGTATATCTGTTGTTTATGGAGGAGAAAGCCAAGTATCGTGCATTGGGATCTGATGTTTGTTCTAAAACTGGTAAGTTCGGTTTGGTTTACTTTGTCTTGAGATGTATATAGATCACTAATTAGGATCTTGAAGTTGTAAAGAAGTCCTATAGAATTTCCGTAATATAAAGAATCATTTTCAAGAAGTTTAAAAAATTATCCCTGAATTCATATCGTAATGGTATGCCTGTCTTTTATCTTGTTTGAAATTCAAATGGACGACTCATTTTGTCTCCATACCTAGTAAAGTCTTAATTGTATGAGGGTGAGGTAGAGGAGGTGGGAGCATGGAACCGCAATCACTTTATTGATCGAATCACACGCCCCCCCCCCTTCCCCACATACGCACTGACCACGCCTAATTCAATCGCCGACACTACCTACGAATTTTCACCTTTTTACCACACAATCTTTTTGGAATTCATAGTAACTAACATGTCTCTTCCACCTATTCCTTATTCTTCATATCTTTTAAACTATTTCGCAGTTTTAAAATTATGTCTGTAACAACACAAAATAACACAACATATCTTTTTTACCCTATTTTATAGTGTGTTTGTAGCTTGCTCATAGCTACAGAGATTGTTCCATGTATTCTAGAGTCTCAGGGTCTTCTATTTGGTTCAGACTTATACCTCCGTGTAATCAAATCTACAACTTATGTGAGTATTAAATCCAGAATTCCCCACACTTTAATGTATTTTCTAACGTTATTGTCGCACCTGGGCACCCTCCATACCAGCTCGGTAACCTTTGAGATGTCAATATTAGCGCAAAAATACTTTTCAGTGTATTGCAATGATAGGAATTAATCAATATAAAGCAATACTCCAGTTTTATTTAAACCACAGGATATATCGTTTCAAATTTACCTGCTTAAAATATTATGCTGGTACATAAAATACAAATGTGGCACCACCGCACAGAGTTGGAGAGCTGGAGAAGCATGCACGCATTTGTAAAGTAAAATAAAGTTTCCCTTTCAAACCTGACGGTCTATGGGGCAAGTGAAGTAGAGTTCACTTGTTTCTGTGACCTCAGCATATGAAGAGATAGTGTACACGGTCAGCACTATGCCCAGCCGCCTTTACTTTCCCTAACGTGAGTTAGGTACCCAACACATTTGTGACAGTGTGTCTCAAAATCGTTGTGGGGATTTGAAAATCGTAAAGGAAAATAATACATCAATTTTCTACACATCCCAAAAATGCAGCTAGCCTTATCCCTAACCCAGCTCTAAACACATAGGCCTCCTATTGTCTTAGCTCAATCCTAGCACTTGCCATATCGGCTCCTATAACAATTAGTTCTATATTTTCTGATACAGGTGCTAGTTCTGCTCACAGTCATCCTAGAACAAAAATGTTCCGTGTTGCAGTCACCTTTGTTATTTCTGTTCTTCTTACTTCTCTTGTTGACACACGTGGTTCCATTTTACTCCAGGATCATCTTACAGGTAAATCCATTTTACTCAAAGATCATCTTACAGGTAAATTGTTAGAAGTTTTATTGTTAAAAGAATATGTGTTTTAGGAATAAAATCTTAAAGCAAACGCTTCAACAAAAGCCGTTAAAATGTATAGTAAGTTGTTCGACAACAACTAAAACGCTTGTTATTTATCATTTTACGATATATTTTTCTTTTATCTTAA